CTAAACGTCATAAATTAGTTTCTAATGTGACTCGTGGACTAACATCTTTTTTAATTCCGTTAAAATTTGATAAACATGTCACCCACGTGTATTGCTCTTTGATAAAAATATAAACTCATCATTTATATTCTTAAGTGACATGTGCATTATATGTTAGTCCGAAAATACAATGGAACCAATTTATGACATTCAGGGTGCAAAATAAAAAAAATATCTTTTAAGGTGTAAAATAAAAATCAAGACATCTTTTAAGATGTAAAGTGCAAAAATCCCTTTGTTTTATGCAGTTTTGCTGGAGAGAGTTCATAGGCACCATTTCCTTCTTGGTGGCGCAAGTGTTTCGTAATCAAGGGAGATTCATATTTCACCCTATTTTAAATTTAGGTTTCTCTATTAGAGAGGTCTATGCTAATTAAATTTTTTATCTTTTTTTTTTTACTCAAATTTGGGTAAAGGTTTGAGTTTCATTGGAGATGATCTAAGGCACGCCCATCATACCCCATGGGCCATTGGTTCGAGTCTGGGAATTAGTTATTTTATAATATAATATTGTACGACGTGCGTCGTACGTAAAAAATTTAAATAATATTTTTTATAAAAATTATAAATTATATTTGTAATTAAATTAAATAATATATTGAGTGTCGCATAATTAATCTTTATTTTAATTATAAGTCTTTTAGCACCTAATATGTCATTTATTTAAGTATATCTCTGACTCCTTTAAGCATTTGCACATTTAATTATATAATAAAATTTTTTGTTAAATAGTTTGATTAGATTATTGTATACTAAAAAATAAAATATAACATATTTGAACATAAAATTCAACCTCTTAACTATATATAGACTTTTTAAGGTTTGGGATGCGTGATACAATTTTTTAACAAATTGCAAGGGGCTGGCCTTTGCACAAAGGATAAATTATATCTAGACTTTTTAAGATTTGTTATTTAATCATTTAGACTCTCTAACATTTAAAATATTTAACACAAATTTCTTGAGGTTTGTACTCACATGCACACTCCATCAATATCCGTTAGTATATTAGTAAATTATAACTAAACCTCCTAAAGTTTGTAAATGTGGAATATTTAAACCCTTCAAGTTTAAAATATTATAATTAAACTAAAAATATTCCAATTGATGATATAATATATTTTAAATTTATAACCAAAATTCATGTTTTATTTTTTTATTTATTGAAATAAAATAAAAAATAAAAATTCAATTTTTTTCTTTAAAAAAATCATAATTATTATTTTTATGTCAAAATTTGGACGACCTCTACGTTTTATTGGGCTTCAATCATCTGAAAAAGAAGCCGGAGACCGGAGGACTCTCCGATGCGTAAGTCAATAAGTGACTCAAAGGTGTGAACTGCATATAGTGATCAGTATAAATATATTAAATAATTCAATTGAACACTCATTTATATTCAAGTATACTATTGTAATAAAACTGAAAAAATCAAACAAGGGTCAAACTATAATAGATACAATATATTTTGTTAGTTTTGTAACTAATAAGAGATCTAGGTGAAATATTTTAAAATTGAGGGATATAAGTATTACACACCTATAAATTTTAGAGGGTCTAAATGTAATTTATTAATAGAAATACTAGCGGGACATTGACAACTGGTATCTAAGTATTTCATATGTACAAATCTCAATGTGTTTATATATAATATTTCAAATGTTAGGAATTTATATGATTAAGTGATAAATTTCAAAAGGTCTTAATATAATTTTTCTTGTATATAATATAAAAGGGAGAATTACACTCAAATTTCATGAGGTTTGTCACTTAATCACTTAGATCCACTGACATTTGAAATATTACACAGAAACCTCCTGAGATTTATATGTGCATAACACTTAGACCCCTGCTGTAAACATATTCGTTAATAAATTATACTTAGACCCCCTGAAGTTTGTGAGTATATAATACTTAGACCATTTAAGTTTAAAATATTATATTTGAACAAAAATACTCTAATCAAATATAAAATATAAAATATTTTAAATTTTTCAACCAAAATTCATGTTATGTTGTATCATTTATTGAAATAAAATAAATAATAAAAATTTAATTTTTTCTTAAAAAATTGTAATTAGTATACAATCATAAAAAATAACTTTTGTTAGTGTTTTTACCACATTTGTGAGAATTATTTTAACCACTTTTCATCTATATAAAAAAATTACCACATTTGTGGTCTTTATTTTTATCATTTTTTTAGATATCATAACAGTGATAAAAATAATCATAAATGTGATAAATTGAGGTATAATACCGGGAAAAAAAATCAGTACTGTAGTCAACTCCGTACCAGAGAGGCCTGCTAATAACAGGGTGAATTTATGTGGACAAATGAAGATAAGATGGCCTAGATGAAAGTAAAATAAACAATGATATGCGAGGGAAGCAGGGTGGCGAACTGCATGAGGTTTTTGGTATTGTATAGATTAGAAAGGTCACGTGCACGAGGTCTTACCTGCATTATCTTCACATGGAAAGACTTATTTGAACTTGAACATTTGATGCCTAATTACAATGAAACGACTTTGATGGTTAGGCCAAAAGCTCATCCTCAACTTTGATGCATGTCCTCCCCGAGATAATTCAAAATACAGCCTCGACTTCCCTGGAGAGGATAAAATTTTAGAAGACAAGAAAAGGTCGAGGAAAGATAAATCTCACGGAATAATATGTAAAAAGACAGTCTAGTGTACGAGACTTCTGTCTTTACTGAGTTGATTTTATGTATGAAGAGATTATTTTCATAGTTTAAAGCAATGACATCCAAGTTTCGATAGAGCAATTTCAATATTACGCCAAGGCCGCCTGAGACGTGCAGTTCCACATCAAACATGTATGGCAAAAAATTCAAATTTTGATGCCCAAAAAAATGGAGGGAGTCGTATAAAATAGCTAAAGGGTCACTCAAAATGGCTAGAGCAGGTTGCCTACTACATTGAATAAGCTTACCGTCATTTGATGCTTTGGCTCCTTCGATTTAATGTGCCTGGAAAAGTATACCTCGAAGTAAAAGCTGCATGAAGCTTAGTGCAAGTCATAATAGGGACAAGCTGTAAATTAAGACGTTATGAATTTGTATCATGACAACTCTTTAAATTTTAGTTATGAGCGATTTATCTTTGTGACTATCTTAATTCTGGTGTGAATTATTTGTCTTTGACTGGATTGAATATGGAATCAGTTGAGGTACACGTAAGTTAGCTTTGACAATCATGACTATTTAATCGGAAAAAAAAATTTACAAAGTTAAAAATTTGTACATTGTCTACAATTTGACCATGCTTGTCTTTATAGATTAAAATAAAAAGAAGAAAAAAAAAAAGAGACCATGCTTGTCTTTCACTACCGTAGCCGACATTTTCTAAAATTTGAACAATACAAAAAAAAATTAGCCTGACCTTGGATGTCACTCGTAAATCGAGACATGATCCAAATTTATTTGTTTTTCACCGCAATCAACATCTTATAAATTGGAACAATATTTAATCTGACCACGGATGTCACATACAAATCATGATCTGATCCAAATTTAGTTGTCTTTCATTGCAATCGGCATCTGATGAAATTAGAACGGTGCAAAAAAGAAAAAGTTTTACATGACCTCGGATGTCACACATAAATCAAGACATAGTCTAAATTTTTTTGTCTGTCACCCCAATTGTTCTCTCTCTATTTCTTTATCAGTTAAGTTGGGTTGAATTAAGGCACTGTAGTCAATCCTTAGGATTAGGCTTGATTGGGCATAGGTGCCCCGACCAACGGGCTGAAGTTTCATCGTATTGATTGTACATTATCTTTTTGTATTTGTGTTGTTTTATTGCCTTTTTTTCCCCTTCCTCGTGATAGGCAATAAGTTTGAAAAAAATGACATCCTCTTCACACAGTAAATTACTATGCCAAGGCATTAGTAGTAGTGTTAACTTCCCGATTCACCCTTTTTTTTTACCGTACATAGGGTTAATAATCGAGCCAATATTTTTTTTTCAACGAATCTAAAAAATTATTCAAATTTAATTTGTTTAAAAAACGAGCGGAACCTAAAATGTGCTGAACCTGAATAGCTCTATTATTTTACATATAAACGAGTTTCGATATTTTAAACGAATTTAAAAGATTGTTTAAGTTCGGCTCGTTTAAAAAATGAGTCGACCATGAACCGAATCCAAAACGACCCGAACCCAAGTCAGTCCGAATAGCTAGGCTGGATTATCAGCATTAACTGGACATTTTACAACATTGCAGCAAATTTAATTTTGTTTTTACTTGATTTTATATCATCTTATGCTTTATTTGTATTGTCCAGTTTGTGGCTCGAAATATGAACACTAGAATCTTCTTTTATCTTGTACAGTAGTAGAATAACAACCAGCCTGTATGTATTAGATTAGTTGAAGAAAAACTCTCGAAAGTTGCTGGCTAAACTCAGCTCTCTTTTCCTCTGTTTCTGTATAATTTTTCTGATCATATCTTCCTCCTCAAGGTCTCTTTTTCTCTGCAGCTTTTTCCCATAGAAGTTGTCCCAGATCCAAGAGAGAAGATAAAGGAGACTCATCTCGGGGAAAAATGGTATGATCCAAATTGGAAACTCTCTCTTTGTTTCATAATCCCTTCCCATATTCGAGCATGGTCCATATGAGGATGCAATTGAGAATATCGAGAACTGAAAATATTATCTAGTTTCAATGTGTGTATTAAAGTGTCCTGTTCCATAGTTCTGCTTCAGTTTGCACTAAATTATGGTTAAGTTGCAACTAGTATTGGAATCGAGTGCAAAAGAGATGCATTACAGTGGAATTTTTATTCTCTATGACTAAGCAACTGATATATTACTATTTTTTTCTGCTAATTATCTATAAACATGAGAATTAAACCAACACTGAACAAGTCTTGAAAAAATAAAGTTAGTTCAAAGGTTTATACAAAATGTGGAATATTAAATACCTGGCAAACTTAGATTAGCGTGTGTAGAGAAGTGATGCAGATGACGAAGAAGCTGGAGAAGATGCTGTGAACTTTGAGGAATCCGTGTTGTAGCTATAGCTCGAAGACTGGTTCTGGCTGCTCTCGGATACATTGGTGCCATATTGTAATGATTGTGAAGCAGCAGAAAAAGCAGATGGAGTCGAATAAGTGGGCACTGGCATTTGGGAAGGAAGAATGGGCAATGGGGCTTCAAAATTAAAGACATGAAGCGCTTGCCTAATTGAAGGTCGGAGATTGGGATCAGGGTGAGCACACCAAAGCCCAACAATCATCAAACATTCGATTTCTTTCTCATCATAATTTGCAGACAGTTTCGGGTCAGCTGTTTCAAGAAGCTTACCCATTCCATAAAGGTTCCAAACCCACTCAACCATTCTTATTTCACCTTCTGGTGCCCTAGGGTCTATTGGTTTTCTTCCACATGCTATTTCCAATGCCACGATACCAAAACTGTATACATCTGACTCCTTGCTAGCCTTTCCAGTTATGACACATTCAGGATCCATGTAGCCCATAGTACCTGCCAGAACTGTCGTTTGCGACCCCTTTTCATGATCAACCAGCCTAGCTAACCCGAAATCCCCGAGTTTTGCATTGAAATTTAAATCCAACATGACATTGCTCGATTTTATATCCCTATGCACCACACATTGCTCCCATTCCTCGTGTAGATAGAGCAATGCAGAGGCCAATCTGTTGGTTTATTTTTATGGAGTCTAGTTTTGTATATGTGATCCGGATGATGACCCGACCCGAAATAATGTTGTGTGGTTTTTAATGGAAAATTTTCTGAGGCTTAGTCCATGGAGCGAAGGCTTGGGCCGATAGGCCCAAGCCGTAGCGCTCATGGACAAGCCTCGTGGGGGTTCGGGGGCAACGCCCCCGAGGAAAATTTTTTTGGGCCCGTTATACAGCCCAGTGCGTAGGACATATAAACCCTGTTGTTTTGGTGATTAGGGTTAATTGTGTATGGTACAGCCGCTCTCTGTATTCAACTCTCTTAATAGTAAAATCCCTGCAGCTTCGTGGACGTAGGCAAATTGCCGAACCACGTAAAATCTGTGTCTTGTTCTTTCTTGTTTCTTATTGCTTTATATTCTTGATTTGTTCTTCGATTGTGTGTGTTTGTTAGTGGATTCAAATCGTGTGAAATCCCAACACAATCCTTGAGCAATTTTGTACCTTACCCCCCAACTCAACAAGCTTTTTCCTTTGAAAAGATGGAAATCTAAGCTACCATTTGGCATGAACTCATAAACAAGTAGAAGTTCTCCTTTTTGATGGCACCAACCGATGAGTTGCACCAGATTCCTATGCCTCAGTTGACTGATGATCTTCACTTCTGATGCATATTCCTTTATCCCTTGTGTGGAACCCCTCGATACCCTCTTAACAGCAATATAGGAATTCGATTCCCTTAAGAAACCTCTATAAACCCCACCAAACCCTCCCTCTCCTAGCTTCTCTTCCTCGGAAAATTTGCCCGTTGCCCTAGCCAACTCACCATAGGTGAACTTCTTCGGTCCAGTACCTCTTTCAAATTCATCCTCCATGGACACGTCAATGACAATATCATCATCATATTCCCCTCTCTTCCTCTTCTTCCAAAAAACCAGTAAACCCAACCCCAAAACGCCCACCAAAACAGATCCCCCAACAGCCAATCCAACCACCAGTCCCGCCCGGTTTTTACCTGGACTGTTGCCAGGATTGGGGCTTGGCAACACTTCGTTTGGAACTGTTACTGTTATATTCTTTTCAATTTGCAGAGTTGAACTAAAATTCCATGAATAAAGGGTATGTAATGCTGATGCATTTCCTGTTGCAGATGAAAATCCAAAAGTGACCCATTCTGGCAAGTAATTTCTCAGATCAACTATGAAAGAAAGTGTTTGTTGGAAACTGGAAATATTTGTAAATCCAGTGAAAACAACACTCAGATTTTTAGAACTGGAACTATAGCTAATCATAGCATCATTCATTTTTCCATCAGGAATACTACTCAACCATGTCACATTGGCAACAGATTTCATAGAATTGATATCAATACCTACATGATTCCGTTCTGGATCCCATCCAATGTTGTGAAATATGTCAAACTCAACCGCAACAAATGGATTATCTGTGGAGTTCAATGGCTCAAAGTCACTGGTGAGGCCAAGACTACCACCTTTGGTGACATTGTTCGGAATTTTAGAACCAGAAGGCACAAGGAAGAAGGCAATTCCATCGCCGTAGCCTGTCCTGTTCCGCGAATTGATGACAAAAGTGAAATGGGTAGTGAAGTCTGTGAGATTTCCTGAGGCCTTGTCCCAGAGATGCAGTGGCTCGGCATATGTGGCCCGGCCTACGCTTGCAAACGTTGTTAAATCAAGCTGATTCCTAGTCACTTGGATTGCATCGTTTGTAGGGTAAGCATCTCTCTCATATGTGATGTTGCCATTGTTGGGACTGAAACTGTCAAAGTTGAAGGATAATGAAGCAACCAGAGGGAGTTTTAGGAATAAGAAAGTGATGATCATGAAGAGAAGATGGTTTGACAAGTGGAGATGAATCTGAGAGGTGCAAGAAATTGCCATGGTTTTGGGGGAAACTTGGCTCTGAAGATCAGAAATGGTGATCGGAATAGCTTGTTATTTTGTAGTAGCAGAAGACTTTGAGAGGAGTTGGGTTTGAGATCTGTTCATTGCATTGGGACTTCTAGAGGTCAAGCTGTCATTATTTACTTTGCTCCTCTTGAAAATTAACTAGTTAGTGGGCTGCTCCTTTTAGGGAAAATTATATTTTTACCTCTTAACTATCTCAAATGTGAATTTTGGTGTGATTTTTGAAATTTATATCGAGATTCTGATTTCAGCCCATGTTTTTCAACATGCATGCGGGTTATAGAATACGTTTTTTTTAAAAAAAATAATTAAAAGTATATTTTGCAAAAACGTGGATTAAAAATATGCTTTTATGCAAACCGTTACAGATTAAAAATAAGTTAAAAATAAAGGTAAAATAATTTTAAGATCATAATCCCAAAGGAATTGGTTAGTTTAGAATTATATCCCTTAAGTATATAATTTCATTTCACTTTGTTTCAAAACCATAGTGAAATGTCTATATTTTATGTTCACAACATAATAGAATTTTGACTATGGTTATTTGTCAAAGGTGTCTAAACTCTCAATCGTTGTATTTGATCTTAATTCTAGCTATTAATTTTATATTATCCCAATTGCATAGTTTTTGTCAATAATTTCTATTCATAATACAATAGATTTTTGTTTTCGGACAAATGTAAAATTAATTCATAAAGTTGAGGTGATAATGGGAGAAACTCCATAATAGAGGAGAGAAGATAGATTGGGATTGTGGTTCAAGAATGTAAAGCTGATTTATCTATTTTTAATGTCCGTGTGCTAACAATTCCGCCTTTTGCAATTTTTTATTGCTGTAAAGACGGGGTTCGAACCCACGCAACCCATTGGAACACGCATTTTGATGAAATCAAAACGACTAGAAAATCACATTTGCAGTCTTTTTTTATTATTTTTTTGGTCAGCAATTATTTTTGTAGTTAAAAAAAAAAATTTAAAGTCGTTTTTAGGTGCTCACCAATAGAAAAGTAAAAGTGGCCCTTTCTTTTTCGGATCAGCGGTCAAAGTTATGCAAATTAATTTATCAATTATATCCAAATCAGCATAAATATACCTTAAGATTAGGGTATTCATGATAGATAAATACCTCATAATCTGACCTCAAGAAATTGTCAAAATTCAAATTTAAGACATCTGAATTTACAATTCACCTCTATTACCACTTGAACTATCATTTAAGTTTAAAGCGTCATTTGCTAGATAAGAAAAGAGGTCTTAAAGTTCCAACAATAGAATGATTTTTTTCCCCTAGAATTACCATCATTTTTTATTTTTCAAATTATGATTATTTATATTTATTGATACTACTAATAAAAGTACCTTACATTAAAAATTTTTGATTTACTATTTTACCCTTATAAAAAATTATAAAAGTTAACAAGTTTTTTTGTATTTAAATATACAAATTACCATTATATCCCTTCATACTTAAATAACAAATTAACCTCTAGCATATCTAATAAATCTTTATTTTTACAAAATCATGTTACTCTTAATAGAATATATAAAAATATTATTCTTTTTTTCAAAACTCTAATATTAATAAACATCGATAATTTTATTGAATATCATTTCAGGTGCTAAAAAATTGATATCATCCACAGTACACATAATTTAAGTATGATAAATATAAAATAATATTTAATTTAGCTATATAATTAAATTTTTATGTATTTTATCAAATATTTTAATAAAAACTTTCACGTGCAAAGTACGTGCTGCATTGCTATTTTCTATAAAAATGTAGTTGAAACATAATTTTTTAATATAAAAATACAAGTTAAATTACCATTGGAAAAAAAATTAAAATTAACCATTTATTATAGGATATTGATCGATTCTAATAACATCCACATGAGACGACTGTTTCATATACGATTTTTTACACTTTTACAATTATTAAAGTTTTGGAGCATAAACGAATCGAAATTTGCAAGCTTAAACCGAGTTTTTATATTCGTTTTTTTAAATAAACTTACAAAATTATTCAAACTTAACTCGGTTAGAACACGTGTCAAATTCGAGTCGAGACTTATCCAAACCAAGCCCAAATAACTCATCCCGATTAAACACCCCTCCTTACAAGGAAAAAAAAGGAAGGATACACATTTCTTCCCTTAAGCTTCTTGCAGATTACCAGAAACATTGGGAGGAACGGTGTAGACAAATAAGATAAGTGCTTTTTTTTTTGGAAAAATTACACTTTGACCCTCACTATGCTCCAGACAAATGAATTTCTCACATTGTCCCCCAACTATATAAATTGATTTGACATTACTCAAACGCAAATGCCCGTTATCTTTTTGGACAGAAAATGTCTATTTGTCAGGATAAAGTGAAATTAGAGCATGAAGTTTGGGTGAAAACTTAGACGACTTTCTCTCAAACTTATGATAGACGCCAACACTGGGATAATGTGAAACTAATAGTAATAGTTGAAGCTCCAATGCAAAAAAAAAAGAAAAAAAAACATGATGATTGAGAGGGTAATTTGAGTTGGAGACCACCATAATTGAGGGGTTCAAAGTATAATTTGTCCATATTCTTTTCTTTTCTCATATTTCCTGAAATCAAATTAATATCATAAACAAGCACCACTCCACCTCAGGGATGAAACTGAAGAGTATTCCAGTAAGTTAATTTTTCAAGGTTTTAGTATATGAAACCCAAAGTGGCTAGCCAGTTATGCATTAATAATCCTCATATTTTGTCTGGATGTAGTCCTAGTACTACTGTTAAATCACATCACTAGGTGCTTAGAACATGGTAACAAGTAAGTTAAAAAAGAAAAAAATCATCCTGTCTAACTCTACCATAATTGGGTGGAAAGTTCACTTCAGCCAAGGAAGCTTGCGATTCACCATGTGAATAAATAACCACCAGTTATGATCCGTTTATTCTTCGAGGATGAAAAATAAGAATGATATACTTTCCTTCCTTTGTGTTTAGCTGGATGGATAAAAAATAAAAACGACCAATTTTTTTTGTTTAATATTAGGGGTGACAATTAAGTCATGTCGTGTTAGATTCGTGTTGAGTCATAAAATTATGAGCCTTTTATATTTATTGTTCGCGTGTCAGGTCATTTTCAAGTTCATGTCGAGTTATAATCAAGTTCGTGTCGAATTCAAGTCGTGACATCATGGTGAGTTGAAAATTCGAGTTGGATACATGTACTGCTTAGGATATTTCAGAATGCAGAGCCTTGACTTCCCCTGAGAGGAGGGAATTTTATAAGAGAAGGAGTCAAGGATAGTTAAGCACATTATATATCATATATAGAGGAATATTTTGGATTCGGATTTACCCTGAAAAGAAACTGGAGTGAACTGTAGAAAATAGCTAAAGCTCTTTCAAAATGGCTAGAGAAGGTTGTCAAGTACATTAAGCAAGATACATTAATCCGGGTTACCGTCTGTGATGCTTTGACTCCTTCCGAGCTGGTGTTTCACCCATTCCTCCATTTCACTGATTGGATATATGCATGGTTGAATTGCAGGCAACGTACTCAATCCTCAGGATTAGGCTTGATTGGGCATAATTACCTTGACCAACCAACTCAGGTTTCATTGTATTGATCGCACATTATCTATTTGTGGTGTTTCATTGCCTTTTTTTGGTCTTCCTATTGATAGGCAATAAGATGAAAAACATGGCATCCCCTCCATAGTCCATACAGTATATCAGTATGCCAAGACATTATGGGTTTAACTCACTGATTTGTTGATTCTTTTTTATGTTTGAGTCTTCTTCATTCGCACATTCTAGTCATGTATGCAATGTACAGATAATGTGTTTTTTTAACTGCTTGTTTGCAGCACATTTTACAACAACATTACAGTACTGTTATGTAATGTTTTTACCATAATTTATACCATATTATCATTTTTTGTAATGAAGTTTGTGACTGGAGATATGTATACTAAAATCTTCTTTACCATGTGCCGGTGGTATAAAAACCAGGTTGTATGGAGCTGATTAGTTGAAGGAAAAATCTGGAAAGTTGATGCCTAAACTCTGTTCTGTTTCCTCTGTTTGTGCAGAAATTTTCTGTTCGTATATCAACCCCACACTCTGTTTTTCTCTGCAGTTTCGTCACCATATAATTTTTGCAAGATCCATCAGATAAGGTAAAGGAAATTCCTCACATGGAAAAATGGTAGGATCCAATATAGGAAATTGTATCTTTGTTTGATACTACTGATTCCTCATTCAAGAATAACCAATATTAATATGTTAGTTGAGAGTAACACTGACCACAGAAAAGGTTATTTACTTTCGATATGAGTATTAAAGTGCTCCTGTGGATGAATTTGTAAGTCTTGTGTAAGTTGCAACTAATACTAGAATCATCTGTGATTATGTTTCCTATTCTTTGTAGTGAGACAAATGACAAATTACCATTTTCTGGTAATTCTCTAACACGAGAGTTCAACATGTGGCATCAATGTAGCTACTGCCATAGTATGTCACAACCAAGGCATCATTTTTTCACACAATTGACCTACTTATTACAATCGATGTTGAAGTCATCACTTAACCACGCATTTTTTGGATTGCATATTAAAAACCAGAACCGGTTTAGAGTCTTTCTCATAGCCCTCCAGTACACTAGCTGCTAAAACATATTTTCACCTTTGGCATAGCCATTAATAATCTGCAGAGCTCCATTTTGGTTACCAATTCAGAAATCAATTTTTAATGTAACTTATTCAGGTCAAAACTATCAGTTCTTGTATGAATGATCATCAAAGAAAGCCTACCATCAAGGGTCTTTCAGTACACAAATATAAATAATGTCATTTAAGTATAACTTGAAATTATTAGAACTAGAGGACCACAGTTTATTCATCATGCATCCCTCATATATGTGGGACTAATATCATACGTATCTTTTGCCAGATATTCTCAGAATCGGCTTTATCCAGATGAGGATAAAGCTTCATAGGATGTGGAAGACTTATAGAAAATTCACCTGTTCTTCGAAATAATGATGCCACCAGACGAAGCGGACCAAGATATAGGCATATTTGCTGGGGGACCAAAACTTGTAGGGACAGGTGGCATCTTTGATGGGAGAATAGGCAAGGGGGATTCAGAATTAAGGACAAGAGTAGCTTGCCTTATCGACGATCGAAGATGGTAATCTGGGTGAGTGCACCAAAGACCAACCACCAGCAACCTTTCCATTTCTTGCTTGTCAAAGCCCGCACATAGTGTTTGGTCTGCTGCTTCAAGAATCTGTCCTTTTTCATACAGATCCCATACCCATTCTACAATTGTCATCTCATTTTCTTGGGCACCAAAACTACTGGGTTTTCTGCCACATGCTATCTCCAAACAAACAACTCCAAAGCTGTATACATCAGACTCCTTGCTAGCCTTGCCTGTTACGGCACATTCAGGATCCATGTAGCCCAAAGTCCCTGCCAGAACTGTTCTTTGCCATCCCTTTTCATGATCAACCAGCCTAGCTAACCCAAAATCCCCAAGTTTCGCATTGAAATTTGAGTCTAACATAATATTGCTTGGTTTTATATCCCTATGTAGTACACATTCTTCCCATCCTTCGTGCAGATAGAGCAATGCCGAGGCCAGGCATTTGGCAATTTTGTACCTAATACTCCATGTCAACACAATATTCTTTTTGAAGAGATGTGAATCTAAGCTACCATTATCCATGAACTCATAAACAAGTAGGAGTTCTTTTTTCTCATGGCACCAACCTTTTAGCTGCACTAAGTTTCTGTGCCTCAAGCGACTGATGATCGTTACTTCTGTCTCGTATTCTCTTATCCCTTGTTTAGACCCCCTTGATATCCTCTTGATAGCAACATAGGAATTCAATTCGCGCAAGAAACCTCTATAAACTCCACCAAATCCGCCCTCTCCAAGCTTCTCTTGCTCTGCGAAGTTTTTCGTTGCATAAACCAATGCACCATATGAGAACTTCTTAGGTCCACTACCCTTTTCAAATCGGTCTTCCATGGATGACTCAAAGACATGCTCTTCTCCTTCTTCTGTTTTTCTCTTCTTCAAGAAGCAATAGGCAACCAAAGCCAGTCCACCAATCAAAACACTCAGGCTCACGCTCAACACCAACACTAGTAGTCCTATCTTGTGTTTCTTTACTCTAGTGGGCGCTACACTGGAGTTTGGATTTGGGGTGCTTAAATGAGCATCAATTGGGAAACTTGAATTGAACTCCCATGTTTTAACATTATTTGTCTCTTTAAAATTTCCCGTTGCCGCAGAGAACCCAAAAGTAACCCATTCTGGTAAGTAATTCATTAGGTTCACAGGATAAGAAAGTCTATCTTTTTGGGATCCACTATCTGAAAAATTAGTGAAAAAAACTTCGAGAGTTTTGGAACTAGAATTATAGTTGATGGGACAAGAAGTTGTGAGAACTTCTTGTACCCGGGGGTATAGTGCAGCAGATTATGAGCAGCTCGGCCAAACCCGTCGGCGCCCGTGAAACTCCAAACCGTTACTAGGTCGGCAAAGTTGACCAGCGACGAGGAGGTGGAGCTGTTTCCCGATAAGGGATATCTGCACAACAAAAAAGATTGTCATAAACATGAGAAGTCCCAAGAAACAAATAAAGAACCCGAAGGAACCGACGTACTTGTCGTTCTCCATTCCCGAGGGCAAAATAAGTCATTGTACTCGGGACCAACACCCCTCTCCCAACATCCCTTGAAGATTAAGATGTCGTCCTTGTACCCCTTGTCCGAATCAGGAAGATGGGTTACAAGGTACATGGAGGGGTCCCTGGCTTTGAGGTAGAAGTGTTCGTGAGGCATGACTCTTAGGAGGGAGTAACAGAAAAGGAGATCGTTGAGCCCAATATTCACCCCGAGGCGCCTATTGAGCTCTAAGACCCCCATGATTATTCGAAAGACGTTGAGGCAGCATTGCCCGGGGAAGAGACGGAAGCGAGACAGGAACTGAAGAAGCAGGGGGGGTAAAGAAAACCTAATTCCACCCTCTATGATGGCCTTGATATAGAAAGGCATGGCATCCGCGGCCCGAAGGTAGGAGAGTTCAACAAAGGGTTAAAGCCCACTACGTCCACGCTCGGGGGAATGCCATACTAACCCTGAACCTATCGATCTGCTCCTCGCCTGTCACCTTGTATTTCCCTGACCCCGAGGGACCAGCCGGTGGATTCTCGGGAGCAGGGCGACGACGAGGCATCTCTAAAAGAGGGAAGGAAAAGGTGTTTACTCTTGAAAACCTGAGGAAGTTCCCGAGGGTTTAAATCAAGACGTACCGACCGGATGACACCACCGTTCAATCAGAAAACAAAAAGGCTAGGAGGACGATAAAGAAGAAGGTTGTGAAACTCACCCGAAAACGTCGAAAACGGAGTTTTTCAGGAAAAACTTTAAAATGACTCGCACCGGAAAGACCAGGAGTCAACAATGGGTTTATTGGCTGTGATTTTGAGAGAAAACGCTGTCGACGATGGCTGAGGAAACAAAAACTCCGGCGAGCAGATCAGGAAAGGCGTATTCTGGGTCAGAGATCGGAATGGCAAAACGATGGAAACCAGAGAAGAACCCCCTTTATATAGAGGGGAAATTGTCATCATTGGGCGGGAGAACCAAAACAGCGCATTTAATGCGCACGACGTCCCAAGCGGGAAAAGCTGCTCGAGGCCATAATGAAGGACGGATGGCAGTTGGGAAACCCTTCGTTTTCTTACAACGCGTGTCCTCGGTGTCAGAAGATCGAAGGCTGGGGGGCAGTTGATGGGACTCTTCTGAAAAGCCCTAAGATGAAGACACGTGTCCTCGGGTTTTTGGAAACAGTGTTGCCCGGATGTAAGCACCATCGGCGAAGAGCGTCCCTCTCCCCCGAGGTACCCTTAAAGGATCACACATTCGGGTGCATTTTACAACACGTGTCCTCGGTCGCTGTGTAGCTCGGGAACATACCACCCTCGGTCCCCGAGGCGAGCCTTCCCTCGGTGCCGAGGGTCACTCCATCCTGAACGCTTCCTCTACTCCCGGGTAAAGCTACTGACGTACGGGGCATCAGTCTATGCCGGTCTAGACTATTCATCATGACCTCGTTTAACACAAGTAATGTCAGACGTGCTGGAATACCGACGTCACAGCCAATAGGGGATGGACGCGTGGCAAATAATGTCACATCAGAAGCAGACAAACCGCATGTCGTTGCTGACACGCGACTTGGGAAAGCAAACAATTAATTGCACCCTTCTGTTGACGAGACCGCATTCAATGCGGTAAGGTTCGGATATGAAAGGCAATAAAAGCTCCTATTACAGAGCATTTATTGCATCCTTCCCGAAAGGAGCATATTGTACCGTCGGCGTCCCGACGACTCAGCATTTACTGCTCGGGACCCCGAGCAGTCAATTCGAGAAGACATTCCTCATCAAATCAATACACACGCTACCTGTGCCTGATGATCACCTACTGACCACACTGACAGCAATCATGAGCTTCTAAGGTATAAATACTCCTCCCAAAAGGCAAAGCGGGTATGCAATCACAAACTCTCCACTACAATACAGACTTTCTCAGTGTTTTCTTCTTCTTCTCTCTCATTCAAAGACTGACTAGACCGTCGGAGGGGATACGCCGGAAAACACTCCGGCACCCTTCTAACCTGTTCTTCTTTGTTCCAGGAAAACCTTTCACACGTACAGGATTGTTCTTCCTTTCCCAGGATCTTCTTTTGCCGTTCCAGGTTGCCACCGTACCTTGCAGGCTGTTTCAAGCAGCGTGTTTGGCCGCTCCACCGGCCCACTCAGAGTTCACCAGGGGAGAGATCTGTTCCCAATATTTTTTATATTGTGCAGGATCTTGCACGCACACTAATCCAAGCATCATTTTCTTGCAAATTATTCAACCATACCGCAGTTGAATTAGATTTCAAGGAGTTGACGTTGATGCCTACATGTGTGAAATTGGGATCCCAAGCATCATTCGAAAATGTATCAAACTCCACCGCAAAAAATTGATTCTGGGGAAAGTTTGAGACTGTGTTCCCGCCTACAAGACCAAGTCCACTTCCTCCAGCGATTTCAGGGATACTGGAACCAACAGGAGCCATGAAGAAAGCTAAACCATCCCCATAGTTTTGATTACCACTTGAATCAATTACGAAAGAGAAATGGGTTGCGAAGTCTGTCAGTGTTCCTGAAGCCTTGTCCCATAACTGCAGGTGTTGGAAGTATGTGGCTCGACCTACGGCGCTTGATGTGAGGTTATTTGGGGTGACTTGGATGCCTTGTTCAGTGATATTTGCAGCTCTAGTGACAATTATGGTGTGATTTGTATCACCAGGTCCGAAACTGGAGAGGTTAAAATACAGTGGGGATGCATAAGGTATTATGAGAAGGAAGAAAAAGATGATATTCAAAGAGTTGCTCACAACCATGGCTGTCTAGGTAAGTTTGGATAGGGAAAATCAGTTTGTTTTAATAGATGACTTCTTGACTTGCAATTTGTTGAAGTCTTTTGAGTACTCTACACTATTTTTGGACGGACTTGACTTGACCAGCACTTTGCGAAAGTCTTCTGCGTACTCCATGCTAAATTTGTTATTATCATTTTACTCGGTTTCATGTGATCAGCGTTTTCCCATCCCAGCATGTTGGGTGGCCAGCTGTTGCCACAACGCATGTGACTTTTTAAGTGCAAATTGGAAAGCTACATGTGATTTATAATTTGATTTTTATTTGTTATTTTTCTTCCTTATTGGTGGACTTTTTGCTCCATGTAAGGGCAATGGGTGTTTTTTTAAGAGGTTTGAAGCGGGTTGTACTCATTGTGAGACTCAACGCGACACCTTGATTTTAATTGACGACATTTATGCACTACTTGTGCCCACATTCACGGAGACACCATAATTGAGTTGATCATAAAATCAATCAAATAAAAAACTCTTGCGGAGTATCTCGAGTGTTAAATCAGTGTTGCTTAAAAAGGGTTAGTTATTACCATAATAGCGATTGGTCCAATGAGTAAGAACTCAAAATTTTTTACTCATTGCTTAAGTTTGAGTCTCCATAATTACGATAGTTCAGTGGGGTTAAACCTATTTTTTTGGGCTCAGAATATGTAATGAGATCTTAACTTCGCCCCAACATGGGTGCGGTGGGGTCTCTTGTAAATAATTTGTGTGGTGTTGAAAAATAATGTTCTCTAAATATATATGAAATCACCTGTTTGCATATTTATTATAAAAATAAATAAAAAGAAAAAGAAGAGCTTGATTAGTTACTTTTGGTCTTGTATGGATAATTTTATTTAGAAGAATCAAAAATTGCTAGAAATGGGAGATAAACCACTCATTTGGGAGTCCTTAGTTGGAGAGAAGATGAAAGAAACTAAATGATTTGATCATCCTTTCAACCTAATATTTTCTCCCCGCAATTAGGAAAAGTTGTGGAAAAAATTTTCAGCTCGTGACTATATTTTCATCCTTTGTTTTTTGTGGAAATATATATTTATTTATTTATTTATTTTACATATATAATGACTCTTAAACTAGAGAAGTGATTTGCAGTAAAAAGTGTTGTATTGTGTTAAATTTGTGTTATACTTAACTTCGATCATGCAAAAATCTATTCAATTTGTATCTAATTTCTTTAAAATTGTATATATATTAGTTTGTGTTATGTTTTATATCGTATTTAAGCAAAGTAATATCAATCTATTTATTGAAAATAGCCTAATTAATCTACGTATTTCTCATTTGAATGATTAATCATAAATTTATTAGTTTTATATATATATATATATATATATATATATATATATATTTATTTATTTAAAAAAAATCTTGACAAGTCACATGTTACATATTTAAAGTAGAATCTATTGTACGCAAATGAGTTATTTATTTATTAATAATTAATAATACACCAAGAAAAAGTAGAAAAAACAAATATAAGAGGGAATCTGAATCCATATACACCCATGTTGCCTAGTGACTAGAACCGGAGGATATTAATTGATTTTCCCCCTTTCTCCTATTTTCTCACATTTTTTTTTTATTACGGTTAAAGATATCCGAGTTAGCGCTTTTCGACAAATAAAGACAAATCATTCGGGCAAAGAGTAAAAAATTCAGATGAATAAATTCATCATGATTTGACTTTAAAGAATTACCAAATTTTAAACCGAAATTTATCGATCATCTCTGTTACACACTTCAAGCAACAAAAAACGAAGATCTATTTTCTTTCTAGCAATGCTAGAAATATCAAATTGTATCACAAATTAATACAGACTCTAAGATTAGTAAGTTTCATTTAACTTTTTTCGGATTCCATTCGTCCAAAATTCCCTTATTCATTTTAGATGTAATTTTAGGTACTGAATTTGAAATGCAAATATTATCCTTTTCTTTTTGAGCAATGTTATAGGGACGGGATTTATTAATTTAATTTATTATAATTATTAAATTAATTGTAAACCCATTGTATATTAAAATTTTAAATTTATTTAATAATTACAATAAATTTACATCATTAAGTCAAATTTTAGATTCCAACAGCGTTTGTCTTTCTTTTTTGTCTTTTCTCTTCTCCTTGGAAAGCTCTTCGCAAGCGGTTACAGTTCGGACATTTCACTCTCAATCTCCCCTGTCTTATATTACCTTTCTCCTCCGTCGAACCACTCAGGTACATATATACACTTACACATTGCAGATAGTCACATACATACATACATACATATACTTGGAAATCTTTGTTCCTTCTTTGCATTTATTATGGTTTTTTTCTTGGATGATGATAATTGGAATAGTCTAGTTACTTCAAAGAAAACCCAGTTCTTGTTTTTCAAGGCGCGAGCGCACACACACAGATACACACACCACAAGTCTTTAATAACCTAAGTGATCCAATTTGCCGTTCACAACCAATAGGATCAGTTGGGTTTTCATGGGCATACGAATAATTATTTTCTGGGTTTGGCGTAGGATTGAAGACTTGTGTATTGAAGGGCTTAAGAAATGCTACTTTCTTGATTTTCTTGGTACTACAGGATTTGCGGTGGAGCTTTCTCGGCGAACGATGTGCGAGTAAGAGAATTTGTGCAGAAATTTCTATTCGTATATGGACCTCACACTCTGTTTTTCTCTGGAGTTTCTTCACCATATAATTTGTGCAAGATGGTAAAGGAAATTCCTCACTGGGAAAAATGGTAAAATCCAATATAGAAAATTGCATCTTAGATTAATACTCCTTACTCCTCATGTAAGATTAACCACTATTAATATGTTAGTTGAAAGTAACACTGATAACTGAAAAGCTTATTGACTTTAGATCTGAGTATTAAAGCGCTCCTGTAGATGAATTTGTAAGTATTGTGTAAGTTACAACTAATACTAGAATCAAATGTGATAGACACACATACCAGATAAGGCAGCAATGTAGCTACTGCCATAGTATGTCACAGCAAAAGCAGTCTTTATACATAAAATTGACCCACTTATTACAATCGATGCTGAAGTCGTCACTTATCCACACATATTTTTCTGGTGGGACTCCCACCACCTTCCTGGATAGCATATTAAAAAACTGAACCAGTGTAGAGTATTCATCATAGCCCCCAGTACTCTAGCTGCTAAAACATATATTCACCTTTAGCATAGCCGTAAATAATCTGGAAAGGTCCATTTAGTTAGCATTTCAGAAATCTTTTTTTAATACAACTTGTTCAGGTCAAAACCATCAGTTCTTGTATGGATGATAATCAAAGAAAGCCTACCATCAAGAGTCTTTCAGTACACAAATTTAAATTATGTCATTTAAGTATAACATGAAATTATTTGAACTAGAGAACCACAGCCTATATTCATCAGACATCCCTCATTTATGTGTTACTGGAAACATTTATTTGGGCTGTGGCAATTGCAATTACCTTACAGGCTACAGCAAAGCCTCAATCGAACATTGAAGACTTGCATAAATGATTGTAGATGAATTTCAATAATATCAGTTACAACATAAAGTTAAAAGAGTCTTTTTGATTTTATCTTAACCTAAAAAAAAAAAACAGAATAAAAAATGAAACATACCCTTTCATTACTTTTTCTTTTTGTATATTATAGTCGTGAACAAGAACCAAAGGAAGCATTTGCATCTTTCTATCCTTTTACACCTATAAGATCTAATTTATTTTTTGTATTTTTTCCTGATAACAGACAAATATCATACATATCTTTTGCCAGATATTCTCTGAATTGGATTTATCCAGATGAGGAAAAAGATTCTGAGGATGTGGAAGACTTGGAGGAAATTCAGCTAATCTGTGAAATAGTGGTGCCACCAGATGAAGAGAGCCAAGATATAGGCATATTTGCTGGGGGACCAAAACTTCTTGGGACATGCGGCATCGTTGATGGGAGAATAGGCAATGGAGTTTCACAATTAAGGACAAGAGTAGCTTGCCTTATCGACGACCGGAGATGGTAATCTGGGTGAGTGCACCAAAGGCCAACCACCAACAACCTTTCCATTTCTTGCTTGTCAAAATCCACACATAGTTTTTGGTCTGCTGCTTCAAGAATCTTTCCTGATTCATAAAGGTCCCATACCCATTCTACAATTGTCATCTGACTTTCTTGCACGCTAAAACTACTGGGTTTTCTGCCACATGCTATCTCCAAACAAACGACTCCAAAGCTGTATACATCAGACTCCTTGCTAGCCTTGCCTGTTATGACACATTCAGGATCCATGTAGCCCAAAGTCCCTGCCAGAACTGTCGTTTCCGATCCCTTTTCATGATCAACCAGCCTAGCTAACCCAAAATCCCCAAGTTTCGCATTGAAATTTGAATCTAACATAATATTGCTTGGTTTTATATCCCTATGTATTACGCATTCTTCCCATCCTTCATGCAGATAGAGCAATGCCGAGGCCAAGCCTTTGGCAATGTTGTACCTCAGATTCCATGACAACACTATTTTTTTGAAGAGATGTGAATCTAAGCTACCATTAGCCATGAACTCATAAACAAGTAGGAGTTCTTTTTTCTCATGGCACCAACCTTTGAGCTGCACCAAGTTTCTGTGCCTCAAGCGACTGATGATCGTTACTTCTGACTCGTATTCTCTTATCCCTTGTTTGGACCCCCTTGATATCCTCTTGATAGCAACATAGGAATTCAATTCGCGCAAGAAACCTCTATAAACTCCACCAAAACCTCCCTCTCCAAGCTTCTCTTGCTCTGCGAAGTTTTTTGTTGCACAAACCAATGCACCATATGAGAACTTCTTTGGTCCACTACCTTTTTCAAATCGGTCTTCCATGGATGACTCAAAGACATGCTCCTCTTCTTCTTCAGTTTTTCTCTTCTTCAACAAGCAATAGCCAACCAAACCCAGCCCACCAATCAAAACACTCAGGCTCACACCCAACACCAACACTAGTCCTATCTTGTGTTTCTTTACTCTAGTGGCCGCTACACTGGAGTCAAGATTTGGGCTTAGACTTGGGTTGCTTTCATAAGCATCAAATTGTAAACTCGAATTGAACTCCCATTTTTTAACATTATTTATCTCAAAATAATCTCCTGTTGCTGCAGAGAACCCAAAAGTAACCCATTCTGGTAAGTAATCCATCAGGTTCAAAACATAGTAAAGTCTATCTTTTTGGGATCCAATAATTGAAAAACCAGTGAAAAAAATTTCCAGAGTTTTGGAACTAGAATTATAGCTAATCCAAGCATCATTTTCTTGCCCTTGTGTGATATTATTCAACCATATCGCAGTGGAAACAGATTTCATGGAGTTGATATTGATACCTACATGTGTGAAATTGGGATCCCAACCATTCGAATAAGTGTCAAACTCCACCGCAAAAAATTGATTCTCAGGAAAGTTTGATATTGTGTTCCCGCCAACAAGACCAAGACCACTTCCTGCCGCGTTTGCAGGAATACTTGAACCAACAGGAGCCAGGAAGAAAGCTAGACCATCGGCATAGTTGGGATTACCACTTGAATCAATTACGAAAGAGAAATGGGTTGTGAAGTCTGTCAGTGCTCCTGAAGCCTTGTCCCATAAGTGCAGCTGTTGGATGTATGTGGCTCGACCTATGGTTCCACCTAACGTGACGTTAGTTGGGGTGACTTGGATACCTTCTTCAGTGATATATGCAGCTCCAGTGACATTTATGGAGTGATTTGTATCACCAGGTCGGATACTGGATAGGTTAAAATACAGTGGGGATGTAGAATGGATGAGGAGAAGGAAGAAAAAGGATATATTCAACGAGTTGCTCACAACCATGGCTGCTAAGCAAGTTTGAGCAAGGAAAAATCAGATTGTTGTATAGATAACTTCTTAACTAGCAACTGTTAAAGTTGACTTGCAATTTGTTGAACCAGTCTTTTGAGTACTCTACTATTTTTTGACTGCTTATGTGGGGGTGAATTAACCCCCTCAATGTGTGCTTTATGTGTCATTTTAGTTCTCAATGTTATAATTGCTTCAATTTGGTACTTGAAGTATTGAATTAGATTTTATGTGGTTCCCAAGTCTAACGCAGTCTATATTTCTGATGCAGAATGTATACGCTAGAAATTGTCGATGTAACTAACTCTTTATCTATATTCTTTAAGCAAATATTGGATGTACCTGGGACAGGCTTTGTTTCCTTTCAAGTTAATATCTGGTGGAAGCTAATGTTTTCGGGTTAGCCTATTAGTGGCCAACTGTTGCACAAGGCAAGTAATTTTTTAAGTGCAAATTGGAAAGCTATATGTGATTTGTATTCTGATTTTATTTGTTATTTTCCTTCCTTATTGGTGGACTTTTTGCCTCCATGTACTCTTCCTTATTCTATCAAGAAAATTTCTGTGTTGCTGATTCAAGAACAACAATAAACTAACAAGTAGTTTACCTAACCTTAAAACTAAGAGGAGAAAAAGGAAAAAGGCCGGGGGGGGGGGGGGGGGGAGAGAGAGAGAGAGAGAGAACTTGGTGATTAAAAATTTGACAGAACTCATACTATATATTAGGAGGAGGCAAACTCTTACCGTGATTGCCAGGTGATTTTATCAAAGGTTTATTTGTCAATGGCAGGCTGAATTGCTGTGGAATGACAAGAAAGAAGGTAAAAATGACGGTAGAACAGAGAATCATATGTGATGGGGAAACAGGTTTTAAGAGGGTCGTGTTCGTCATGAGGCTAAACCCAACACCTTATAACATTAACTGACGATAGTTATGCACTGCTTTTATCTGCATTCACGAAGGCACCATAATTGATTTGATCATATGATTATACAATCAATCAAATAACTAACTCTTGCGGAGTATCTTTTGAGTGTTAAATCAGTGTTGCTTGAAAAGGGTTAGTTACTTTGTTGCTCTTTTATGGGTAATTTTATTTAAACGAATCATAAATTGCTAGAAATGGGATATAAATCACTCATTTGGGAGTACTTAGAGCAACTCCAAGGCCTCAATAACCATTTCCCATATCCTTCATTTCATTAGCTATTCCTGGCGAGGCGCAGAAACTCGCTATTGTGGTTTTTGCGTCAATTTCTTCGCTCTGTATTCACTCCACAAAAGCTCCCATAACCTTCAGTCTTCACTCCACAGCACTCCCAATTTCAGTCTCCTTCTATTTCGTTGTCTTCCTCGATCGTCGTCTTCTTCAACCAAACAAAGGTTCTTCGACCAGTCCAGGTATGGAGTTCTCTCTCTGTTTCTATCTATGTGTGTGGGTGTAAATATGAGGCCACAAAAATCCTACTAAAACCCATCTCTCTCTGTGCTCCTGCTAAAAAACCCACCATAAAACCCACAAAAAACCCTAAAAATCCCTCCGTCTCACCCACCAATAATTCCACTGAAACCCCACCAAAAAACCCCCACCGATTGAATTTGTGAAATTAGAAGTAGATGCAACCCCACCCATCTCAATCCCACATTCGACTGTTACCTTCTCTCCAAAATTTACCCTCCCATCAACCTTCAATTCTTCCTTCCATGGTGTTCGAATCGATCTAGTCTGCCCCAAGCACCATCGAGCCTTCGACGATTTTTCTTCCTCTTCGGGGGTGATCATGGCTAATATAATTTAGGTTAATTGCAAATTGTATTTTGAATCTTAATTTTCAAAAATAATAATTTATATCTTTAAAAATAGAAATTTGTATTATTATGTACTCCAAAAATAAAAAATCTCAATTTATACCCTCAAAAATAGAAATTTGTACGAATGTGCACTCCCAAAGATAAAAAATCTCAATTTGTATTTTCAAAGATAGAAATTTGTATCAATGTGCACCTAAAATTAAATTGATAAATTATACCTAGATCCCCTCATGCTTGTCACTTAATCATTTGAACTTTTTTACATTTAGAATATTACTCCTACATCTCATGACGTTTGTGCACATGTAACACGTAACCCTTTTTCGTTGATATCTGTTAATATAACTGTTAAAAAATATGATTTTATCCTAAAAAAATTTTATAATTTCATATTACCTTTTATTTTGTGGGTCTGATATATTCTAAAGTTCAAAATCAAGCTTATCATTTGAATGTCTAATAAAATGCAGATATTTATATAATATTTTTATATCAAATGCAATATATCACTCAATGTGCAATTCTTTATTCTATTAGACACTCAAATGGTAAGCTTGATTTTGAAATTTAAAGTATATTGGACCCATAAAATAAATGGTAATATAAAATTATAATTTTTTATTATAATAAAATCATATTTTTTAATGATTATATTAACAGATATCAACGAAAATGGGTTACGTGTTACACTTACACAAGCTTCATGAGATGTAGGAGTAATATTCTAAATGTGAAGGGGTCCAAATAATTAAGTGACAAGCATAAAGTGATCTAAGTATAATTTATCAATTTAGTTTTAGGTGCGCATTGATACAAATTTTTATCTTTGATGGTACAAATTAAAAATTTTTATCTTTAGGGGTACAAAATAAAATTCGAATAATTTTTTAGGGTGTAATTTACAATTTATCCTATAATCTATCACACCCATAGGACATCAAGGAGGGTTGGGAAACCAAACCAGATTTTAGTTTTGCTAGAACATTGGTGATTAAGTCAATTTTTTAGTCAATATTTTAAATTTTAATAATTAATAGTTAGTTAAAGTTAATTGAAATAATTAACTAAAATAGAGAATGTTGTTTGAGTGAATTAATAGGAGTTATTCTTTAAAATAGATAGTGTAATAAAAAAATATATTTTGCCTGGCTACTTATGTCCCCGGAGTTGCTCTTAGTTGGAGAAAAGATGAAAGAAACTAATGATTTGATGATCCTTTCAACCTAGTATTTTCTCCCCACAATTAGGAAAAGTTGTAGAAAAATATTTCAACTGGTCATTATATTTTCATCCTTTTTTTTTATGGAAATATATATATATATATTTTTTTTTCTCTATATATTGACTCCTAAACTAAAGAATTGTTTTGCGGTTTGTAGTAAAAAGTGTTGTATTGCGTTAAATTTGTGTCATACCCAACTTCGATCATACAAAAATCTATTCAATTTTTATCTAATTTCTTTAACGTTGTATATATTTTAGTTCGTGTTATGTTTATATCGTATTTAAGTAAATTAATATTAGTCTATTTATTGAAAACAACCTAATTAATCTACGTATTTCTCATTTGAATGGTTAATCATAAATTTATTAGTTTTATATCGATACTATATCGTATTTACTGTTGTCATATCCTCTCTAATATATTTATGTAATAAAGTAGAATTAAGTTTGAATCCAGAGGCAAAGAGAGGTTTAGATCGTTTTGAGATAAAATATAAACACATTAAACGGACAACGTAATCTCAACATAAAAGACGATTCAGATCATTAAAAAATATTGATCTAACGGATAAGAGTGAATATTAAATTTTATTTTTCCATTCAACCACATTTTCTGACTCACGCCTCTCCCTCCCTCTCCCAATCTCTCACGCCTCTGTCCCTGCTTCTAAAGTCATTCCTAAAATCTCTTCCAAGGAATCCATCTCAATCTCAATTGTGCCTCTCTCTCCTAATTTCAATTCTTTAACCAACATCTCCCTCTCTCTCCTAATCTCAAATCTTCAATCGTAGTTGTCGATTTACAATCAACGCTCACTTGATAAAGGGTCTTATTCTCCCGAACGTCCTTCGAAGATCGCCAGAGTCAAAGAGCAAGACCTCACCAACAACGACGACAACGAAGAGGAACACGGGGAAGAGCAAAGAGAGCCCACTATTGGTGACCGAGCCATGATTCAAAACCCTAGAATTCAAAGGTACTTAGTCACGATCGAGTATATTGGGACTCGATTCAGTGGGGCACAGAACAACTCAATGACGGAACTGTTGTCGGTGTTCTCGAGGTAATTTTATGGTTTCTCTCTCTATATTTCGTTGATGAGAAAATGAAGGAACTGTTAAAGTGTTGAAGTTTCTGTAAAACACTTTTTCTTGAATCATTTTTTTTGTTTTTTGTTTTCATGTAGGAAGCTTTCATAAATTCATCGGACAACCAGTTTCAATCCTTTGCTCAAGTCGAACTGTAAGTTGATGTAGCTTGCTAATATGCTACTACTACCTTGATGCTGATCAAGTGCATTAAATATTATTTAAAGCTTCATATGGTGACAAATGAACAGTACCATTGCTTATTGATTTCTTGGAGACAATGAGTTGATTTATGATTCACTTTAGGACAATAATGGTGCGTTTAGCAACTTGAATTGGGCATTGGAGTTGAAATAGGAAAATAAATAATTTTAACTCTATACCTACTTTGCTGCAATTCCAATTTAACGAACCCAACACTATGCAACCAAATGCAGCATTAGTGTATTCAACAGATGGGAGAGCATTTTAGAAGCAAATTAATAGAATGGTTTAGACTTGATATAAAATAAAGAAAATGGTCTTTCTTGATCTTGCATTGATCTTTTGTATCGCACTTGGAAGCTTTTGACTAATTAGGAGTTGAAACTTGAAAGAAGAAATTTTTGATTTTTCTCCCTTTTTTAGGTGTAAATGGGTCAATAGATCATGCCTATTTTGCAGTGTGAAGCTTTGCCTATTTTGCTCCGATGATGCATCTGGTGATAATGAATCATCCATTTTTCCTCCTTTTAATTGTTATTGAGAATGTATATTTCCATGCACACCAAATTTGCACTTGATTATTTTTCTCTTGATGATTGTAAAATATGTTGTTGTTCTTGGACTTTTTTAAATTCTATTTTATATGGAATATTGGGTTTGGTGGACCATTTTTTACGGATTGGTTGGTGCAAGTTTGTAATCTTCTTGGGTGGTTTGGTTTGATTTGATTTCTAGACAATGTTATATTTTATTGAAGAGGTTATAGATTAGTTTAGATTTGTTTCTTTATTTTATTTTTTCCGTATGAATGTATGAATTAATTGGTAAGGTTTTTTTAGTGAGTACAATATGATAATGTCTTGGAGTTAGCTTGACTAATTTATTCTGAGATGATTATGTAATAATTTGTATTGGGCAATGCAATGGTTTGTGTCGGGCAATGATACATATAATGAGATATATATAATCTGCATGTTGGTTGAGATTTTTTTGAGCTATAAATCTGAAAAAAATTATGCCGAAAAACTATTTCAAATTGAAGATTTTTTTTTAAGTTACAAAGTGTTTTTAGGCACGGGTCATCACTAGTATATATATAAATTTCTTGAAAAATCACATATTACGCATTTAAAGTGGGGATCTATTGTACGAGTTATTTACTTATTAATAATAAATAATCCACCAAGAAAAAAGTAGAAAAAAAAAACAAATGTAGTGAATCTGGATCCATATACACCCATGTTGTCTACAGGCTAGTGGTCCATTTGGTACAAATGATGGAAAGACGGAAGAAAGGAAAAGTGAAAGGAAAAAAAATTTCATCCATAAAGGAAAAAAAAGTTATTTTTCCTCTTTTTTGTTTGGTATGAGGGATAAAAAATAGAAGGAATATATTTTTCATCGTTTGGTATTAGATGAAAAATTAAAAGAAAGAAAAATCATGTATACCCAATTTTACAATTCTACCCTTTAAATATATGAAGTGAATTTTAATATTACAAATCAATCCAATCAATTTGGTCCAATTTTTAATCCCCTTATTTTTGTTTATTGATTCCTTTAGTGACTTTTCAATAAATAATATGAAAATTTGGTGTTCATTTCTTATTATACCATGTCAACAAATTATTATTTCATACAAATATTTTTTAACATACATGTCTAAATTATTTTTCAAATAACAAACGTTAATAAAAATTTTGGAATGTAAGTGACTCCTACTCACTCAATTTTCTAGTTATTGTGTATTTCTTGTGTATTAGTAAAAAAAATAATCAGCAAAAAAAATTAACCTAGAAAAATAGATAAATTTTAAATAATTGTCAAAGAATGTATCTTAAATAACACCGTTAGTTTTGTCGATCGAGTTCACTATTTCGTTGCCCTTGTCTGAGAAGTGTGACTCGTTGTCAATTGGATTTTTTTTGCGAAATATTTATTAAAATATAACAAAGGGCAAAAAAGTAAAATAATCTTTTAAAAGTCAAATTGTTATGCCTTTTTTCTCATTTTTCTCCCATTTTTGGGGGGATAGCAAATTGTGGGCACGAGGGAAAAGCCTTCCCTCCAATTTTTATTTCCATCATTCTTTCTTTTAACACAAAACATTTCAAAAATTTTCCATCCATTCCATTTTTCTTCCCCCATTTTCCATTCACCTCATTTTCCTTCAAACCAAATATACTATTGAAGTGGAGGATATTAATTGATTTTTCCTTTTTTCCTATTTTCTCACATTTTTTTGTATTACGATCAGAGATATTTAAGTTAGCGCATTTCGACTAAACACAAGCAAATCATTCATGCAAAGAGTAAAAAAATTAAAGGTATAAATTTTTTACGACTTGGCCTTAAGAAAATATAAAATTTCAAACTGAAGTTTACCATTCATCTATATTACACTTTAAAAAACAAAAGAAATGTAGGTTCGATTTTTTTTGAGCCTCAAATTATATCACAAATCAATATCGACTCTTAAATCAATGAGTCTCGTTTTACTTTTTTCAATGGGATCTATTCATTTAAAGATCCCTTACTCATTTTTGATGCAATTTGAGATACTGAATTTGATATGCATCGTTTTACTTTTTTCAATGGGATCTATTCATTTAAAGATCCCTTACTCATTTTTGATGCAATTTGAGATACTGAATTTGATATGCAAATATCAACTTTTTCTTTTTGAGCAATGTTATTGACATCAAATTTATTGATCTAATTTATTGTAATTATTAGATTGACGATACAACTCCATTAAATATTAAAACTTTAAATCAATTTTAATAATTACAATATAACCACGTGATCAAATTTTATATATCTATGCTATTGGTTAGGATGTCCATAGGCTGGGTTACCCACGGGTCCCATTTTTCGGCCCAAAAAAAATAGGTTTGAAACTCGATAGGTCCGATAATTGGCTCGCCAAAGCCCAAACCTGAGTCCAATATACTTAAAAAAAAAGGGCTTAAGTTTGCCCCTAAATCAATTACCTCGCGTAATAGTCCGTTTGAAAAAACCCGTGCCAATTTGCTAACTCCAGCCCGCCCACCCTTCTTTTGAAAAAAAGTTATACTTTAGATCATTAAATTTAAAAGTTTGAAATAAATCTTTCGATGTCTAAATTTGAAGTTTTAAAAATTTAGATACTATAAATAATATATTTTTTTTTTCATGTATTAAGTATACAAGTTTTAAAGGTTAGAGTAATATAAATAATAGATAAGTGAGTAAATAGCAACCTAATTGAGATGTATTCCTTCTATTGGATGTAGTTCATCCCTAATCAAAAATAAAATTATTGATTATTTTATTTTTATCAATTTTAACTTTACTTTTAATTCAAAAATATAATTTATAAATAAATTTATTATTTTTAAATAAAGTTGTATATAAAAAAATCTGCGAGCAGGCCCGTCCAATAGGCTCGCGGGTTGGGTTGCAGGTAAGGATGTCAATAGATCGAAGCAGGGCGCGGAGAGTGTAGTCTTCATTTCTGTACCCGCTTAAAAAAACTTCGTTCATTCCCGGTTAACCCCAGTTAACGGGTATAGTTTTCATCCCCATCCCCGTCTGTGGGTAAATTTTTAATCCCCGTACCCGCCCAAGCCTAAGCCTAAGCCTAAGTCCAAGCCCAAGTAGCATAATCCAAAATTCTAAATAAATCTAATATTTAAATAATCTAACATAATTTAACACAACATAACGTAGATTGCAAAATATAAAAGCCAAGACAATATAGTATTTTATTTAAAGAATCATTGGACCACAAAAGGAGAAATGTAACTATTAGAGAGAAATGAAGAAAATGAAAATAAAATTGAACTAAGAAAACAATAGTACTACACTTGAAGTTTTATAGAAGAATTCATGTTACAACCATAAAGTGTTAAAAGATGAAAAATTAAAAATTTATTAATTCAATAATTCTCCCCATTTCTTAGTTCACTCTAACAAAAAAATTCATCAACCTCCATTCACAATATTTTCTACCCACGATGAAATGCAAAACTATTTTACTCCCTCTTATCTGTTTTTAGAGCATGATCAATTTAAACTCCTAACAGTTTCAATCATTGATCACAAATAAAAAAAATAACAATCAGAGAAAAAAGTTGATACAATTACCACATAACAATGGTATTTTTTAGTTTGATTATCATATTTTTAATTTGGTAGTTACAATAAATATGTTCCATTAGACTTTAGAAATATATATATACATACATATAGTAGGTAGCGGGATGGGGAGGGGCGGGGTTAAGGGTAAATTCATCTCCGTTTTCATTCCCGTATAAGTTTATATGGATATCTTCATATTTGTCTACTGTCCAATACGTATAGTCCATCCCCGGTCTAAATAAGATGGGTTTAGACGAATACCCGTTTTTCTCCGATCCACTGTCATCGCTAACTGCAGCTAACCTAGCCTACCCGAACCCGCCCCGACCCGTCTGATAACTCGCTTCACACCGCTACTATTGGTCTTTCTTTTCTCTCCTCCTTGGAAAGCTCTTGGAAAAAGGTTACAGTCCGGACATTGCTGAGGCCCCCCTGGCATGGCTCTCTCACTCCTACGAAAATGGAGACTTGTATCTCCGACTTCACTCTTCGCTGCTCGAAGTTTCAGATCAAACGCAGCTCTCCAAGCCCTAACCAAAGCATCCGAAGAAAGAACGCCAAACATCGTCCTCTACAACTACCCATCTTTCTCCGGAGCATTCTCAGCTCTCTTCGCTCACCTCTTTCACTCTCATCTCAATCTCCCCTGTCTTATCTTACCTTTCTCCTCCGTCGAACCACTCAGGTACATATATACATATATACTTGGAAATCTTGGTTCATTCTTTCCATTTATTATGATTTTTCTCTTGGATGATGATAATTGGAATAGTCTTATTATTTCAAAGAAAACCCAGTTCTTCTTTTTCAACGCGCGAGCGCGCGCACACGCACACACACACCCCACAAGTTTTTAAAAACCTAAGTGATCCAATTCACGACTAATTGGATCGCTTGAGTTTTCATGGGCATTCGAATAATTATTTTCTGGGTTTGGCGTAGGATTGAAGACTTGTGTATTGAAGGGCTTAAGAAATGCTACTTTCTTGATTTTCTTGGTCCTAAAGGATTTGCGGTGGAGCTTTCTCGGCGAACGATGTGCGAGTAAGAAAATTTGTGCATTTTATTTTGTGTTTTGATGATTTTATTGCTCTGTTTTTTCAATGTGGTTTGGAATGTGTGGGGGCTTGTTGAATAAGTGATGATTTTTCATCAGGGCAATAGGATTTGATCATCGGAAATCCGTGCTTTCAAAAGTTCCCTCCAAAGGAGATTATAACGAGAATTGCACTTTCCATGTTAATCTTGAGAAGAGTAGCTCTACTGCTGTATATGAATATTTCTCAGCTAGCCTTCTACAGATGAAATCTAATTGTGTAAGTATTAGTAGATTTAATGAATTAATTTGTTAGTGCCTTTCATGGGAATAGTTGAAGGATTCATTTGGTTGCAATAGAAAATTCAATTAGTTGGATTTTGTATCCTTCAAAAAACCTCTTCAAATTTGGGTTATGTTTATTTGACCAATCACAGCTTGATGGTTCATTTGGTTGTAGTGTTGCAGATAGTTGAATGGGACATAAAATTCATTCTTATTGTTATTCATTTTATATCGGAATTTGAAATTCAAAAGTTTTTTTAAAATTTTTATTGCCAAATTTGTTTTGCATCTTTGGGGTCTTTGCACCTCTGTTTTAAACTAACCTAACCTAGTGTTAGGGCAAAAATTATTTTCTTTCTACTATGTAGGAGGGGGCCACAAGTCTACTAAACCCCAAAGACAGAGATCGTGTCGAAATGGTTCTAAAGTACATTGAAGATGGAAATCTTCGTCATTGGAGCTTACCAGACATCAAAGCATTCAATGTAGGGCTTGGTGAATGGCGTTCAAAGATCAATTGTGTCACTAATCCTCACATATACAAACAGGTTTAGTTATTCAAATATTGAGTCCTTTTTTCTTCCGCTTTGGAGATTATTTTTGACTTGCATTAGTCTAAGTGCTAATACTCTTTTTTTTATTCTACATTTTGTTCGCTACAGAGTGCTAGCTTCTGCGAAATTGTAAGAAATGAAAATAATATTACAGATGACACATGCATGCATATTAGTTGTCATTGTTTTGGAATCATACTTGATGTTTCTGCCTTGCACGTGAGCATTTTATTTTATTTTTTTAATATAAAACTTCTGCATTTGAAATTCCTAATTGCTACATCATAGTTGTAGCTTCCATTAGTATCACCTCATTGTTGTCCTCTATTTGATGATATTATGAAACGTCATTATGTGGAGAATTTAAGCCAGGTTTCTCAGCCCCATGATATCTTCCAGGCTGATATGCAATTATAAAAGTTTTTGTCAGACATAGTTAATGCCCTTTAGCACATATGATACTACCTTTAACTAGAAAAGCCGCTGAATTTAAAGTTAGAACTTTTGTCGAAATATGGAAACTTGTGGAATGTTTTGTATGTCCAACATAAGTGTTAAATTAATGAAAGGTTGTTTCCCTTCTACTACCATTTATCATCTTTTGAGGTTTTAACATGTAGCACCTTCTCGTTGAAATGTAGGCTTCTTTTTACTCCTCGTCATGCTTTTGTGATCTTCTACCGACTATTTATTGTTTTGTTTTGAAATTAAGTACATGTGGTACTGGTGAACTTTTGTAGCATGGTTTGACCACTAGTGCTGTTTATGAGTATTTGCTTGTGCTAATATGGAAAGGTTGTCAAATCATGGAGATGTTTGTACTAGACCTCCATTGACGACTTAATTATCCTTGTCCAATAAAGGCATTGAAAAGTTATTTCAACTCCTACTCCATTATATAAGCTTGTTTGAAGAAAATAAACCTGGTTATTATGTTACTAAATATCGCTAACTTGACTGCTAGGACTAATTGTTTCTGAAAAAGAATTTTCTATTACCATTGAATGAGCAGCCGGCCCTTTTAAGATTTTAATTGACTAGTGTCGCGATGTCAATTAGGGAATGAAGATGGGTTGAGTTGAGTTGCTATGTCATTTATTAATTCATGCTAGTATGAAATCAATATAGAAGGAAGGGAGATGTTCAGATTGAATGCACCATTGCCCTATATCATTGGCTGCACTTCACACTTCTATTTCGTGATGATCTTTATGCGGGTTGCATTTTCCAGAAGTTATAATATGTATCGATTTTTGCCCAATTCAGGCGATTCATGTGCTTTAGTTTAGAGATTTGTAATGTATATGACTTGGCTCAAACTATGTATGTTAACAGTTGCTGGAGATAAGCTCTGTGGATTTAATTTCCAAGGGGAACTCTTATTTTTCTAGTCGCCAAAATGATGCAAAAAAATTTCTGGACAAGGTGTTTAAAGTTCAGCTGGGTAGAGGCTTTTATGGGGAGTGTCTGGTAAATCTTTCTTTTTGACAATTTCAATAACCATGCCATGCTATACTTTGACAATAGAATATCTTTGTGTAGACCTTTTTTTAACTCAGCTGTCTAATTAACAAGAATTTTATTATGTGCCTTTAATGCAAATGAGATCTCACATGTCTCATCTCATTCTCATTCTCATTCTTGCTCATCTTCTTCTGCTGAGATGCAAACTTTCATATGTACCCTTGTAAAACATTCAATAAAGACAAGATTTGATGGCTGTGGTCTTTAGGGCGTCAGAGCTGATGGGAGTTCCAATTTAAGCGATGAAATTGGCAAGGAACTTAGCAGAAAGAGTGCTGCTGCTGGGCTAAGGTACTTTGCTGTTAGGTTCCCTTCTTTTCATGCCGATAAGTTTATTCAAATATTTGTCATGTTCTAGGATGATGTTCTGCATGCATGTAGATACCAATCTGTCACAGTACCAAAGTTGAGCCACCTTCTGGTTTGGTCCACACCAAAAATTCTTCTTTAATGAAATTCTATAATTGGTTGATGCTACAGAGCCACCATTTGTGCAGAATTATGTAACTAACTTGGTCTTTGGTTGGTTGAGAAAGAAAATACTCAGCTGTGTGAGTTTTTGATGTAGTGAGCAAGCAGAAGAAAAAGGTTAATTCTGGATAGTTATGTGGAGCGCATTAAGTCCATCTCTGATCATGTTTAGGTTAAGTTAAGTTAGGATTGGAGAAATGGGCTGCAAGGCAACTCGAACCCAATATGAAATTTCATTACTTGGGCAAAGATTTTCAATATTCGGGTTGGGCTTGAGCCAAAAAAAAAAATTAATTTGGACTCTGCTCGAGAGAGGTATCGGGTTTTTGAAACCCAACCTATCTGCACTGATTTATGGGATTTGGTTGGTTCAATCCGAAATACAAGGCAAACAAAGTTGTATATGTGTGAATGTATGTAAAAGAGATAAGGGTTAGGGCATTTCATATGCACTGCACAGACCACACCTCTCGTCTATCTCGTTTATGCAAAAAGACTTCTTCAATCTTCAAGCAATAAAAAGTTTAGACTCTTCTATCCTCTCTTGTTTTTGCACACAAACTGGAGACTTCTGCACTTGTAAAGAGTCTCAGACTTCTCTTTGTCGTTTCTTGTTTTCTCCTCTTCTCAGCTGGGTCACTCTCTCTTCTCTCTCGGCTTATGAGGTGCATGCTGTATAATGGTTTTTTGGTATATTTGCGTTTCTGGTTTTACATTGCTGTTAGACTCAGGTCTCACGTTTCTGGCTTTAGTGAGGAATGTATTTCAACCTTTTTGATCTACATCATGCCCTTTGTTTTGGGGACCAATACTAGTAGCTGTATGAAGAAACGGGATGAGAGCGGAGTACAATTTTTGTAATTGGTGATAATTGTTTGCAGCTTTATGGGTTTTTTTAGCAAGTTACAGTTTCAGCAAGCATAAATCAAGATTTCATCTCAAGAATTGAATCTGCTAAATTTTCACCAGAGTTGCATAAGCAGAGTTTAAAAAGCTGTTGCTGCTTTTGAGTGCTTCTGCTCTGACCCCTTCCATGAGCATATGCTTCAATATGTAGCCTTAGCCAATCTGAGAACTTCACTTCAAACACTGAAAATACCATCATATTCCAATATGAAGCTTTTCCACTATATATCTACATTTCAGGTCTGATTTCTATTTGAAGTATAACTACCTTATCTTGGTTTGTCCTATTGTTAATGTCAGGCCTATAGGAGCAGTTGTTTACATGCAACGGAAAAATCTTAAAATGTGCTTGAGGAGTACAGATAGTTCTACCGACACTTCTGAAGTTGCAAAGGTGTGCATCATATGATGAAAGTAACAAAGTTCTGTGTTAATCCTGTTTTCCCTAATAGTAAAGAGTTTGAGAGATATTCATGGTCAATGTTGCTTTGCATGTTAAAACATGAAGGCATATGGCGGAGGAGGTTGCCCAAGTTCTAGTTCATTTATAATAAGGATGGATGAGTATAATCACTGGAGGTCACTGCATTCCTCATGAGCATGTAAGGTATGTATTTATGGTTTTAGTAAAAACTTTAACCTTAACACACTCGCATGTACAGAGTGTTCCTTCAATGATCATGTCCTTAAACTTGGTTGTGCTGTTTCAAACCATGTGCAATCTTAAGCAATTCTCTGCTTATGACTGGTGTTTTGAGTTACTGTCGGCTAAAATCTTTGATGTGGGAGGATGTTGGATCTCCAATTAATAATATGATGCTCTGTGTGTGTGTGTGTGTACATATCAATTTGTGTGTTTTGGTCATTTGACGAAAGCAATAGATAGAAATACAAGTCCCCCAAAATTCACTCCATTTTGCTCATTAGGTGCATGGTGCTTCTCAGATAAAATTTTCCACTCTTTGGTTGGTTATGTAGTTATATTTTTCTGTATCATGTTTCCATATCACTCGTTGTGGTGATAGAATGTCTTCAGTCAGCATCTTGTTCTAGTACAGTAGCTATGGAAGGAATAACTTTAGCTAGGAGAGGGTGATGTATTCATGATAGTGAGAGGGTTTAGTTTAGTTTTAACACGAGAGTTTGATTTCATCTGACACAAAAAACAAATGGCATGTTTGGTTTGCATCTCAAAAAATAGTATCTAAAAATAGTTTTTGAGAAGAATTTTGGAAAAATATTTTTGATGTTTTTTGAGACGAATAACTTGTTTGGTTATACGATTCCAAAAACAGTTTTACGGAATAAAAAATAATAAAACATGTTTGGATTGAGTGTTTCATGTAAAAATTTTCTAATATATTAAACTTGATAAAAAAAAAAAAATTCGGCCCCAACATACACCATCACAGTGGCTTCAACATACCCAAATCTTTGATTCACACCAAAAATTCAATACATGAAGCCACCGGATTTGTTTTGCTGCTACCAAAAAATTCAATACATAAAGCCACCAAAAAATTCAATACATAAAGCCTTTAAGCCGTGAAGCCACCGGATTTAACACAAAAAAGAAAAAAAAATCAAAGGGAATCGAACCCAGATCTGAAAGATATCAACCCAGATTTGAAGAAGATCAACCCAAATCTAAAGGAGATCAACCCAAATCTGAAGGAGATCAACTCCGATTTTAAGAAAACTTGACCAAAAAAAAAACTGAAAACCCTTTTGCTAGAGATCGCCGGACCAACCCTAGATCTGGAGTCGACGTCGGAGAGAGAGAGAGGGAGTGAGAGAGGCTTGAGAAAGGTAAAACAAAAAATCTTTTTATAGTGGATTTATTTTGCTACTAAGGAAGTTTGAAGGGAAGACCTCATTAAAGAAAGAGGTGTTCTCCGTGTTTTCACAATTTTCAAATGAGTCTCATAAAATTCTACAAAATAACTAATTCTTGTTCTCTACTTGTTCTCGTTTCTCACTTTTTTTGAAAATTTATTTTTGGAAACTGCTAACCAAACATCATCTCACCAAATTTTGTATTTTGAGAACAAAAAACTGATTTTGAGATACAAACCAAACACCATCAAATATTTTCTTCAGTAACTTGGTTAACTACTGAATCAAAAAGCAGACAAGATTCAGATACGGCCCCTCACCCCTAAAGAGAAGGATTAAAAAAAGAAAAATGAAAAAAAATGAAAAACCTAGATAGTGGCATCACAAACAACATAGGAGAAATGGAAAAAATAAGTGAAGAAAAAATTAATCTTGTAGATTGGATTTGTATGATATGGTATATTCTTTTGCCATTGCTGAAATAAATGAATCTTGATTTTGAAGCTTGAGAAGCACTATATGAACATATGCATCTTGGTATAAACAATGCATTCAATATGAACTCTTGCTCCATAGAAAATAGCATGTCTATTCTTTGTAATTGACTTTGTACATTGGGGATGTAATAGTTTGGCATGATTTGACGAGCTTATGGTTCACATCACAAGGCTCACATCAAGTTATATAATATATATATGACTGCAAACTTCGTTTGAAAAACTCCAGTGCAACTGATGCAGCCAACATAAAGAAGTTCAACTAGCTCCCAACTCTAATGCCTCTAGGGAAAAATTTGCACAAGGTAAAGGAGGAAAGGCTCCCCCCACGTCAAGTCTACAGGCCAACGGGCAACACCATCAAATCATCTTTTGATAATACATATCTAATCTTCCAAACAATACCGCGGACAATCAGATGGAGCAGAATCTTTTTTCTGTTAAAAAAAAACTTATCAGCAGATACAGATTTCTCCCGATCCTTTAACCAGTACTGCGTCTCATTATTCTCAGTTGAAGGTTGATTCTTTTCATCAGGTCTGATAAGAGTGCTTGGCACAGCCTTTGGAGTTCCAATATATGGATATTGTGATAATATATGGTACTTTACATTTTGGTTTAATATAGTTGACTAGTTTTATGGTCTATATGTTGGGATTGAGATTTCAGCATATCACTTGGTCCTGCCCCTTAAAAAATCGGTATTGCTTCTAGCTCTTTACCTGTGCCTAGTTTCCATTGTCAAAATCCTTCCTATTCACACATTATTTGTCACAAGTAGACAAATATTGCCATTATAAAATTGCTTAGAAAAACTCGCCGAGGTGTGCTTCAAAGACCATTGGTTGGAATAGAAAGGAAACAAATTTTCTGTGCTAGCACTGAAGCTATTCACCAGTGTTAGCAGCATTAGTATAGAACATTTGGAAGAAAAGGCTTGAAATGCAAGTCTGAGTTATATCCCACATGGTAGACCACGAACAAGAAGCTGTAGTTGGCAACTATAAGAGCACACTTTAATTCGACTGTGGGAATGTGCCCATCTTCATAGCCTTTGATTGGAAGCCTTTAATGAAAGAAGCCAATTCGAGACACTAATGAATAGAGTTTGTATATTTTATATTGTGGTAGAAAAATGATTGTTTTAGTATATTGTAATAGACTCGTTTGGTAAGATGGGGGACCATCTGGGTTTTGTAAAAACTGCCCTTTTTACCCAGTTCATTGTAGGGTTAATTGCACAAACGATCTAATTCAGTAACTGGCCCGACTTAAGCACTGGGGTTGACCCGCCGGGCCGAGCTGGGCTGGTTTAACAGCACTGATTTAGGGTGCAGGTTATTGTTTGAGATTATCTGGACAGTGGGGTTTGGATTTGAGTTACAATTTTGGATCAGGAATTTGGATAATTTGTTTGTACGACCCTGGATCGCAGGATGCTTGAGTATCTATGATCCCAGTATCTGGTCACTTTACTCTAGAGTTGTGCCACCTTCTGGTTTGGTCATGACCTGAAATCCTTCTTTATCAAAATTCTAATTGCTCATTGCCAAGCACAACACTTATCAGATAGATTTTCGGTCTAGCACATAGAAACCTTTTTAATAATTAGGGTGACAGCAAGATTTGAAAACAAGAGCTCCTACTCTGATAGCAAAAGTTTAAGCTGTTGGAGAGGATGTAACTTAAGTATTTATACTTCAACATGAATCATATTTGGGAAGTTGAGTATTGTGTGCAATTCTACTTATCCTGTGTGAGGGTGAAGCATTTTCTCTCATTTCTTCTTCTCCCTCTCTTCTTATTTCTCAGTGCCTGCTAGAGCTAACAATCAGTTCTTTCAGCATTTCTTTGCTCTTTGCAATTCTACCTTCACAAGCTCAGCCGTCCCTCACCATGTCAGACTTGATCCTGCTGATAGGAGGACCCAAAATAGGTTACTGTTCATGAGCATTGTTCGTTGCCGAGGAAGAGTCTTGGAACAGACATTGATCTCTTTCTTTCCTGGCTCAAAAACATTATCGATTCAACTCTGCAACCCCAAACTTTCTACATCAACACTTAAGCTTGACTAGCTATATTTTTGCCTTTATTCGACAAGAGATCCAGCAGTCGCCACTTGTGCGGCATCAGTTTGTGACTTTACGGACATACATACAAGTATGCATGCATCGACATGCATATGATGGTTATTCATGAGATTTTTTTGACTTCAAGCATTAAGAGCTCTGGATACTGACAATTTTGGCATCAGCAGAACCTCTCAAAAGACTAAGTTGATGAGCAAATGCATTACATGTTTGAAACAAGGTGTGATACCCTAGTAGAATCTTGATTGCAAGACTGCGAACTTGCAGGGTGTATTGATAATTAGACTGGGGCCTTGTGAATGGAATCTTAAGTAGTCTATCAGTGGTGCAAAGTGGCTTTGTCCCTTTTCAGTAGGGGAGCAAAAGGTTAGACCTTAGAAAGTCAGCGAGCAGAGGGTGTTGCTTGATTGTGGACCAGTTGTCTCAGCTTCCTCTGGATCTAGTGACTTGCTGAGACCTTGAGGCTTGAGTGCATTCTCTATCTAGGCTGTTGCTGTATTCTAGTTCTTGGCTACAATACATTTTGAATGCTTCCTCCCTGTCGCCCTATATAAGCATATAATATCCTCTAGCCAATCTGAGCACTTGAAATACTGAAAATTCCATTAAATTCTAACATGAGGTAGGCTGGCAATGTGTTGGGTCAGGTTAGGTTCGTGTCATAATTTGCTTGAGTCTTATCCTGCTTATTTATAATCATGTATAGTCGGGTTAGTGTCGTGTTTTGTTTAGTTCACACGAACCCATATCACTAATTTTATGTCGATTTCATATCGTGTTTGCAGGTCGCATCTAGGATTCCAAGCCTAGTATGAGGTATTTTGTACTATGTATATACAATTGAGGCTGATTGCTAATCGAATTATAACTCCTTTGTCTGGTGTATACCATTGTTGATATCAGGCCTATAGGAGCAGTCATCCACATGCAACGGAATAATCTTAAAATGTGCTTCAGGAGTACCAATAGCGCTACGGATACCTCTGAAGTTTCGAAGGTTCACATCATAAAGAAAGGAAAATACTTTTGTATTTCTACGGGTTTTTCCTAATGCTTGGTAATTTGGGAGATATCATGCTAGGAAATCTGGAAGATGTCATGATCAGTTTACTTAGCATGTGGAAACATGAAGGCATATGGTGGAGGTGGTTCCCCATGTTATAGCTCCTTTATAATAAGGATGGACGAGTATCACCAGTGGACTACAGTGAATTCTTCATGAACTTGTGAGGTAGGTATTTACTAGGTATGTCCTTGAACTCGGTTGCACGGTTTCAACACATGAGCTCTTTAACTCTTCTCTGCACATTATTAGTGTTTGGGCTACCATCAGTCTTTTCTAATCTTTGACATGGGAGGATATTTGGATCAAATCCTAAGAGGTGAAGTAGCTCCAATTAATGGTATGATACTTTGGTGATGTTATGGTCTCTCTCCCCATATGTGTTTGAAACCGTGCAACCGAGTTCAAGGACATACTTAGTGGAGGAACACCCTGCATCTCCAATTAACAGTATGATACTTTGGTGGAGATGTTATTTTCTCTCTCCTGATGTATGTGTCTGTGTGTTTTGGTCGTTGACAAAAGCAATAGATGGGAGAGTACAAATCTGCCAGAATTCTCTTCATTTTGCCTTTCCGTCGTACTGTGTCTCTGACAAATTTTTTCCCTGTTTGATTGATTGATTATTGTATTTTCTGTTTACGTGTTTGCATGTCACTCATTGCCCTAATAGAATATCTCTAGTGAGCATCCTGATCTAGATTAGTGGATAAGGTAGGAACAGCTTTAACTTGGAGAGGGAGACAAAGGATTTAGTTTGGCATCAACATAAGATCACAGAATGTTGGTTTTAATTGCAAATATCACAGAAAACAAAGATTCTCTTCTGTAACTTGGTAAAAAAGAGAGAGGGAGAGAAGGAAAAGGTTCATCTTGGACATAGGATTTGTAGACATGGAATGTTCTTTTGCGGTTGCTGGAATACATAAATCATGATTTTGAAGCTTGAGTAGCATTCGATTGAACAGAAATGCATCTTGGTGTTAAAAAATGTGTAAAATGCACACTTGACCCACAAATTTATTAGGCGTCCTTTTATTTGGAATGAACTTTGTATATCAGGGGATATAATGGTTTGGCACATTTTGTGGAGCATATGACTCACGTCGAGTAATATTTGCTGATGGAGTGCTTGACACTGCCTTTGGCATGCTCATATCATCAGCCTATGTATATTGCGATTACCATATGGTATTTACTTTTGGATTTAATATTGGTGACTATTTTTTAAGATTTGTATGCTAGGGTTGTGATGGCAAAAAATATCAATTGATCATTCATGCCCCTTCAAAGGCTGGTGTTCCGTTTTGGCTCTTTACATGTGCCTAGTTGACATGATCAAGAATTCTCTCTTTGCCGATTATTTGTCTCATGTAGACAAAATTGCTATTTCCAAATTAATAAGAACAACCATAGTAAGCGAACATTTGCCCCGTGTGCTTCAGAGGGCATTGGTTGGAATCATCAGGAGACGGTTTCTGTGCTAGTACTGAAGATATTTAGCATGGTTGTAGGAGCATGGAATTTGAAAAGGAGACCAGAAACAGAGAAGGGGGAAAAAAAGGGTTTGACGTCTAGCAAAATCCATTTTGTTTAAGCAAAGTTCAATACATATATGAACTACACAACATCCTCATTGAAGCAATATTTTGCATAAACAGCGTCTTTTTGCTATATCTATGCTGTGCAATTCTCACAGTTCGAACTAATAACGTGTATGAAATATACAAGCATTACTTAATTAGTGCACTGGACACCCATCAACATTTATGCCCTGGGCTGTTGGACAAGTTGCCAAGTTGCAGTGTTCGCCATTTGTACCCCACCAAGTCAATCCTTTGTTCTCCATGCCCACTGTGAAGTACAGCAGCACTGCCATGAAAGCCACCCCTGCATCTAGAGCTGCTGAAAGAATATAGTTGTACCTCTGCCACCACTGCTTCCGGTAGCGGAAGACGAAGAAGTTGAAAATCGTACCAACTATGATCCAGGCATTATAATTCAGGGGAGTTGCTGGCGGCATCATAGCAGTCGCTCCCAGAAGGACTGGAAGGTTGATCAGAGGAATCCAAGCTTGTTTGGGAAATGCTTTGTGGAAGAGCCAAACTACAAATGGGCCCAATGCACCTCCAAGGAAGAACCAGTTCATGGAACTATAGTATCCAAGACTTCCAAAAATCCGTTTAGGTCCTACCAAACCCCATATTACTGATGCATCAAAGAAGACCCGATCACCGGGGCAGGTCCAAGGACTGTCAGGTGGAAGGAGATCATCCTGGCATATGTTCTCAATTGAGTTCAGTAGCCACCATGCCACAGCGATGTTGATTGTTCCTGCTAAAACTGTTCCTATGAACTGCAGTTTATCCATTCAAGAGTTAGAAATCAAAACTAAAATACATTGGAAAATATATTAAAAGTTACATTGTTAATAAGTTTTACAAATTTCTAAATCCACCCGTTTACAGTCCTAGTCTGTACTGTTTCTTTGCAGGAAAAATCCGATACTGATTACGACTATAGTCTACTGTAGCAGAAATGTGTAATATATTTTACTTCTAGGATTCTCAGTTTGCCCTGGTGGTGCACAGAAACTGGATTCTGAGTTTTATATAACACATTGGATATAAGCTTTCCATTTTACATTTTTCTTTCCAGATGGTGGATGTCACATTTTTGTAGAAAGTTCAGTACCTGAACTATGAACATTGATCTTGGAGGGATCTTCATGTAATGTCCCAGCTTGAAATCACTGAGGAAGGAAACAGCTTGTGCCATACTCATGTAACCATAGACTTTGAAGCATACATTGGCTATTGGTCTTCCAGGTATTATTAAGCCCATGACATACTCTGTAATTATGTTCAATCCTGGTGTCTGTATGTAAAGAATTGAGCATCAGTGGGTGAAACAGATTTAACATTGATGTTGAGAAAAATGGTGATGGGAGTCTCTTGGAATTTTGAAAATATATTATGCAATAGTAACTGGTAGCTGTGATTTTAAAGCCTGAAAATGGGATCTACTGTCTCCAAAACAATTTCAGTTCTGATTTTCCCAATTTTTGACACCTCGATTGAATTGTGAAATTGGTCTATCTGAATGGAATTTTTTGTGCAGCCTAAATATTGAATATGGCATTGTAAATGTTGGGAAGAAATAACATTTGCTTTTCAAGCTATCTAGTAAGAGATCGAGATGGAGTGGATGATAATATCCACTCGATTACCTGGTTTGTTGTGGCAGTTATGATGCTGATTGGAAGGGTGAAAATAAAGGCAATGGCGCAAGCAAAGAGGAGTCCCCACCATGGCATCTGAACTTGATCGTTCAAGAAGATACAGAGTACAAGAGACACTGCAAATGTCACTCCAAGCAAAATGTAAAACCACCAGGAAGGTATGTCGTCATATTTTCTCATCAATTTTGTATGGATATCCTCTTTACCCCTGTATGAAGCACGGAACCGATCGTATATTTCCCTGCAAGTATGATTTTACACCATGATGACATTTTTGACTCATTCAGATCAGGTAGATAATAAGAGGAAATGTGTTATTGATCAGGCAATGTTTACCTTCCATAGAAGAGGCCTACATGGGTGAGAGTAGATGCAACAGTAGCAAAACCAAAACCATAAGTGAGAGCAAAAAACATGCTCAGATGTAACCGTCCTTGCTGCTCATACTGCACCAAATCTAGCTCAAACTTGTTATTCACAATTGCTGATATATTGTACCTCTGACCTTGGGCTGTAAACAGGTGTGAGGAGAAAATGGGAAATCTACGAGCACCGTACAAATCCAGCCCCCAATATCCTATGGGCATAACTACATAGATTACCATTGCATATCCCAAAAAGACATTGACAATGGCAAAGAAAGGGCAGATGAGTGGACTGAACAAGAAGGATGCCACGACGGACCAGTCAAGTGTTACAGCACCAAGTCCGAGGCCCCTCATGCCTGATCCGAGTTGCTGGGCTGTGACGGATTTGGAGAATACCCAGCAGACCCATGAGATGGTTGATAGTGTTGAGAAGAGGTATCCGGGAACCAAGTACCAGGAAAAGCTGCAAATCAATGCAATGAGGAAGAACTTTGCCCTTGACATGCGCTGCCCACTCCCTTCCTTTTCATGCAAAGCCCTACAAAAGGAAGATCAAGTGTTTCCTCTTGACATTAATATACCTGGTATGAAAGAGTATAACCGCGTCAATTATCACTATTGTTGCTGTTTATATGCTCTCATTTAACTTGGATTGGACGGTTTGAGAGGTCATCTAAGTTAAACCCAGTTATTAAACTATTAAACCCTCGACCAAAGTTCAACCTGAATGCTACTTTTACTCTCAGGATTCTTTGTGCTTAGATTTTTAAACTAGGCTAGCCTTTCTCGGACTGAACTTGGAGTTCAATTTGAGTTGAACCCGAATTGGTGATTTTTTGGGTTGGAATTTGAACCCCCAAGTACTCTCCGAATTTAAATTGGGTTGAAATTTGTTTTATAAACTTGATCTAAATATCAAAAAATTTTCTGAGAATTGATTATTTTCTGGGTTATGACTCAGATTGAGTTGAGTTTGATTCGTCTTGCAAACGTCCACGTTAGCCATGGGCTGATGATGACGTTGTTGGTAAATGTCACTATTTGGAATCCCTCTCTCATTGATTTAGCTTACAGGGATGGCATAGTGTCTGTCAAAACGTAGTCTTGTTTAGACGAGTCCACGTGTCATGCTAACTATCATTGTGTCAAAATTCCAATCTCTATCCATAAGCCAGTTGGCTGATTAACGTACACCTCGTGAGCTAAGGGCTTTCTCACAGTGAACTCAATACAATTGGACATGATTAATAAATAAATTGAAGATTAGTAACATTAATTAAAATAAATAAATAACACAAACTTAATATAACATGATTTATTAATAACAAACTTGTCATATAAATAAATAATTTAACGTAACAATAATATTATTTATCAATGATGATAAAATATCATCGTTACACTAAAATTTTAAATTTAGTTCATATTGGTGTTAAGAGGGCCCATCAAGCATTAAAGGACATAAAATATTGTGATTGATCATTTTTTTAAGGTAAAATTACAACCCTTAAAGTGAAAGTTATAATTGATTCAAGTCATTTATATTTGATTAAAATATTTTATTAAATAATTAAAAGTAATAAATTTTTGTTTCAATATCAAAAAGATTTAGTTGTTTTTGGGTATCATGGTGATATTTGAGATTTTGAGGCCCTGTTTGCTTTGTATCTTAGAAATTATTTTTCTCTTTTCGAAAATAGTATCTGAAAATAAAAATTATTTGACCAGTTATTTTTTTGTTTTTGTATTTTGAAAATTGAAAACAAAAAATAAATAAATTTAAAGAATAAGTAAAAACTGTTTTGTATATTTTTTGAAACAATATCTTTAGAATTTAGAAAACACCACAATCACCAAACTTCCACCCCCACCACCACTACTATTTTTATTTATTGTTTTATGGGTTACGGTCTAAATAAGTTTTATTTCATAAAATTATTTTTAAAATTATATAATTAAACAAATTCTGTAATACAAAAAATATTAAAACATAATTTTTTAAAATTATTTTTAAAAATAATTTTTGAATACAATTTTTTAGACGTAAACCAAACCAAACAAACCCGAATCGTTTGTCGCCATATATCTATCCAAGGTTTCCAGTTGGCTGCCTTTTTGTTTCTTTCGGAAAGTTTCCAGTTGACTGACTTCAGTTGGCCTAAACATTTCATTTAACATAGACAGGAATGAATCCGTGATTGAGGAGCCGAGTGCAAGCTGCTAGTGAGCTGTAAAACACCATACAGCTAGCTGCACGTGACCACACATTATCACAGATCTGAACATCACCCAAATAAGCCCAACGATTCACAGTCCGAACATTTTTAACCTTAATATTAAAAAGTAATGTTTTTATTTTTTATATATTTTCAGTAATACTGGTTTTTTTTTTTTTTTTTTATGAATGGAACGTGTCAAGTAGCCCAGATTCAAAGTTTTTGAACCCGTGATCTCGAAGTTACGAGTCAAACTGTTTTACTCCGTGATGGGGAGAAAAATTGAAAATTAATAGATAAACAAAGATTCAATGCACCCCTTTATCATATCTCTGTACAAATATTTTAATCCTTACCAACTTGATCTTATTGCCCCTAATAACAAACACGCATGAACCATTTCACGAAATATGTGTCCGAATAGTCAAAATTCTCGACGGGGTCTTTTGCTCGATCTAAATTTTCAATATATTATTTCTAAGGATTCTTTCGTGTAGGTCAAACAAGATGTGAATTCAAGCGTAACTAATTATTATTTTCGTTGAATCTCAAAAAAATAAACAGTTAATAACAGATCATTTGTTTCTATTGTTAGAACTCGTGATTAATTCAATGACCAGAATCTATAAAAATTGTAATTAAAACGAACCCAAAATCCTAAATAAGTACTCGGTGACTCAGTGAGTTTAGTAGATGTGGGTGGAGTCAACTCACCTGAAAAGTGAGACCTGAACCAGAGTGCTCGGCCACCACATGTGTGCCGGCTCCACCACATATTTCCTCAACAGCCCCGCCCAACCGTACCCCAACACCTGCCGGAAAATAATGAAAATTTTCAAAAATTATATAGTTGAACTTTGATAATCAAGATAAATTATAAAACCACGTAATTATCAACTTTGCACTGCTTTTCTTGAAGCAACAAAAACATTTTTTCTAAAAAAAAAATTTGAAGAAATGAAAGCAAGAAAAACACTTTCAAACACCACCCAGAAATGACAAGTTCTTACCTGTGTAGTTATGATCAGTAACCATCCGGCAAAAAATGAAATTTTCCGGCGATAAAATGCTTTGATAATGTCAATAATCATAACGGCGTAGGCTGATCCATTACCAAAAGCACTTCCAGCATTAGCAAAGATAGAGATGAGGACATGCTCCTTCATGTTGAAAGGACTCGGGTTCAGAGAGAACAGTCTCGATCCGAACCCCGGTATTCTGAACTTGGCCGTCGGAAGTACGGCGGCCAAGAAGTGGCCTATAGGTAGAACGGCCACTTGGACGGTGATTTGGGTTATGATAAGTGGTTCGGTCCGATAAGAGAAAAATTGGTTCAAGAAAGATAGGAGGCCACATGATAGTAGGCCCAAGAACCACATCCGGAAAGTCCATACGGGTAGGTTTGGGTCGTCCGTGTTGGTCACGGTTAGTCGGACTTCTTCGATGGGCGATTCATCATCGTCGTCGTTGTTTTTGTCGATGGCAAAGTGTTCTTTTGTGGCTGAGAAGGTGCTGGTGCTGGTGCTGGGGTGTAGTGGTCCTACTTCCACAGTACCCATGCTTGAAAAAATATGAGAGAGATAGTGGTTGCTTCTTGCTTGCTTCTTGGTTCTAATCTATATATTGCATGTTTGTAGCTTGACTTTTGTGGCCCAAGTATCTTGGCAAGTGGGAGAGAAATACGTATATATCAACACGATTTGATTATAGATTAAAATACACTTGTCCTTTAACTTTGTATTTTATCACACTTTGATAATTATTTTTTCAATGGGTGAGGTCTTTTGTTCAAAGGGTCTCTCAAGTTTATAACTGGTGTCACTTACGTCGCTAAAATCTAAAATTAATGTTTGAGAAAACGCTTAGAAGAAAAAAAAAAAGTGTTTTATGAAAGAGTAATGCTAGATGAATTTAAAAACTAGACTTAAAAATTAGATTTGATAATTTCAACCATTGAATAGGTAATGAGACCCAATAAATGCTGGGACCTACAGTGAAATCAATGGTTAAATTATCAAGTCTAATTTTTAAGTTTAATTTTTAAGTTCATGTAGCATTGCTCTTTATGAAATTCCTTTGAAGTGTTGTCATATGAGATGTATATGACCACCACCATTAGTCAATTTAGATCAATGTTTTTTATTGGATTAAAGTAACTCAAATTAAAATTTCGAGTACTAAAAAGATTCAATAAAAAAATGAGAATCAAAGTAACACAAAGAATGCATATGTAAAAGATCATTATTGGGGGATACATATATAATTTGAACATACTTTACTCGGTATCATACCGCATTCCCCTTGTATGTGTTCATAAAATAAAATAAAATAAAAAGATGAACTAAAATTTTATTTGGTTGCTGCAAGAGTCTAAGGTTAATCAATAAGCTCACATCAACTCCTCTTGTACCATTTTGGAGGTGGTTTTTTTTTTGCTACAGGGTGTCTAAAAGTATATCGATTATTCTATCGAACTCGAATATTGGTTATCGTAATTCGAGTGGGTTTAAAACATATCTCATAAAGAACAAGTGTGATTGACCCTTAGGGAGTATGAGAAATGTTGAATCTGAAACCTTGAATTATTAAATAACAGACTCAACCACTGAACTACTCTTAAGAATTTTTGGGAGGTGGTGCTTAGATTTTAGCTTATTAGTCTTCTTTGGGCTCTTTGGATTACAATATGATGTTAAATAAAATATGCATATAACCTCTTATGTATGTCAATAAAAAAAAAAAGGTCATGGTGATATTTTGCACTCATGTAGATTTATGCATCAATATTGTTTTGTTTATTGAATGGATTGATTAAAAAATAATAGTTTTACAAATGAGTTGTAAGAACTTTAGGGCATGTTTAGTTTACGTTTTAAAAAATAGTATTCAAAAACAGTTTTTGAAAAAAATTTTAAGAAAGTGTTTTTAAAAAATTTTAGTTCGTAAAACCTGTTTGGTTATATATTTTTGAAAATAGTTTTAAAGAACAAAAATAAAAAATAAAAAAAAAAACCTTATCACTCCACTCCAGTCAGGCTTCGCACCCAACTAGTCTCTCTCCATTATCTTCTCACACAACAGCCATTTCCCTCACCTAGCAAGTCAATTGGCTTCTCACCCAGCAAGTCTCCCTCTCTCTCCATTATCTTCTCATACAGCAACCATCTTTCTTTCTCTCTATTATCTTCTCAACCAGTAAAAACAAACACACATAGCCATATACACACACACACACACAAATCTGTGTATAAATACAAATTTGAACACAGTTCTGTGTTCAAACAAATCTGTTGCGCAGAGAGAGAGAGAGAGAGGAGAAGATGAACAGCCAGGGAAAAGAAGATGATGAACAACCGGTCACCATTTTTTGTCTCCAATGAAACTTGAAGGGGAGACTTCATTAATTTGGAAATAGTTGTTTCCTTTATTTTCATTTTGCCTTACAAAACAATGAAAACATTATTTTGTTTTTCTCTAAAATCATATCTCAATTCTCAGAATTTTCAAAAAATTAGAGAATAAAAAAGCTAAACAAACAAGTTTTAGATGTTTTTAAAATATTGAGAACAAAACACAATTTTTAAAAACCTAACGAAACATGCCCTTAGTTTGAAGGAGAAGTGACTGTGATTTGGGACTAATCACACATGCCTTGAGCTTCATTGGCGAAACATTCCACAATCATTTGACTTCCAGCTTTTAAAATTTGTGCAGTTAAATAATTAAAAGTTTGGCTAGAGTCAAGTCAATGGTCACTCCGATTAATATGGATATTATTTACAGTACATGATTTGGAATCCAGAGTTTCTCCATTATGTAATGATATTTATTCACTCTTTGTCGAAAAATAGAAGGTTGGCTATGGATATAATTCGAAAGAATGAGGGGTCCTATTCTAAGGAAATTGCTATGAAGATAAAGTCGTTTAGTAAAGTAAAGAAGTTAATATAGTCAATCTTTTCGTGTTTTGGTATGTTTAAACTCTATTTGAGTTGACTATTATTCTTCAAGTTCAACTCAAAAATTTGGATATTTTCCATTAAATTCATCTTTGTTTCCAACTAATATGCTATTTGCATTTCTATTGGGCTTGTTTTTACAATACGAGCTAGAATTTGATAATAAATTCAAAACACGGGTGCGTGCAGAAAGACTATTTCCGAGCCAAGTCTAACTAACTTGAACATGCTTTATCTATGGTTCTGATTATTTTTATGTGTTCAGCACACTCTAGTGGTATCATCAGTGATCTATAGAAAGTGGAATGCGCAGTGATAGAATTTCAACAAGTGGGGACGCCACCAATGTCTTGCGCAGGCTTATCTGATAATCAAGCACTAATCACGGCAGCATAAGGAGAACAAGAACAAAAAAAAGGTCCCATTATCGTGGAAAAAATATTCATTGCACGTGATACTACGTCGACATTATTATGTGGTATCACTAATCAATAATATATAAATAAAAAAAAATGGATCTCACACAAGCTAATAACTACCTATCTATGTAAACCAATGACTACTCACTCTTTATCTATATAAGTCCATAACTATCCAAGTGAAGTTCACTTTATCCATTTAAAGTTTTATTATTAGTTCGTGACAGTATATCATCAATTCTACCATGGTATCACCGATACATTGAATAAAGTCCCCAACAAGAGGATGCTTTAAGGTTGAATCCCAAGCATATGATATTCACCGGTCACTACGAAAAGTAGCTATATCTGCTTTTGTTTCTCCATTATAATTCATAATTTTAGACGCATGATTGGCAAACTAGGGTCAACTATAATACAGAAAATTACTTTTTTATATTATATTTTAATTTTTTTATATCTCATAAAAATAAGAAACGGATAAATTATTTTATTTTATTTTATTTTATTTGTTTATTGTTTTTCAGTGAGAGGATGTAAATTATCTAAACTAAAATGAAAGGTTGTGGATGAATTTATATATTGTAGCCTTTTTTGACAAATGTAATATGAAAAGGTTTATAAAATTCAAGAATTTAGAAGGTAAATGGATGAATCCACTAGGGTCCAACTCTACATAATAAATTGGCCGATATAAACTAGTCTAAAAAAAGACAAGAATTCAATTAAACATAGCATAATAAACGAAACAAACCCAAAACACCAAAATTTTATAAAAATATGCAAAGGTTTTTTACTCACATTAAAATAGGTCTGACAATCCTAGACACCAACGAATACAATGTGAAATTGATACGGTTTGAGTTTAGGTTTAGTCCTTGCGAGTTTGAGCGACAAATGAATTTATCTTTTACACTCGTCTAATGAACGGTCAATAAAAACTTAGTTTAGAACAATTTATACATAACTCAAATCTAATATAATAAGAATGTAATTATAAACAACCGTACATGAATCGGATATGAGTGAAAGCGGAATTCGGCTTAAATTCAAGTAAATTATTCAGCATAAGTCTTGATATTTTTGTATAGAATAGAAACAACAAAAAACAAGAGACATGGAAAAAACTCTAGTCCTCCGATCCTATGAGCTGTTCATGTCTACCTATCAACACGCTTGGACTGCCACTTGAAGGTGTGAAATTTGAATGGGGTTTTCTAGTGGTTAGTGGGAGTATGGTTTTCTAGTGGTTAGTGGTCAGTTGGCCAGAGCCTCTGCTTCCCGGTGGGAGGTCAGAAGTTGAAAGTTCTCTGAGTGTAATAGTGTGACTGTTTCGTAGAACAAGATTTCAGTTGTTTAGATAAATCGTATTTAAATCTTTGATGTGGGTCTTAAGTCCCTGACGAAATACAAGTCCTAATTTAACTGATGTATAAGTTGAGAGACCGGTTTATAAACTCAAATTTATTCTTAATTTTATTCAGAGTTATAAACTTGAGCGATTTAAATTCGTCTCTATTCATTGAAAACAGCCTATGAAATTTTTCCGTTATCTAAGAAAAAAAAAATACTCAATGGTTTCACGTTAAACGATAACACTACGTACCAGTGATAAATTAGTGGCACTAATAGACCCAATAATTACTTCAGATAGACAGCCCTCTTTTTCCTTCTACTGGACGTCAATGGTATTGTTCTCTCTCTCTCTCCAAATTTGACCAGAAAGATGTTTTTAAGGGTTTTAAGATCCAGAATCTGAAAGAGGATTCCAACTGGCCATGTGGTCTACATTCAAGTCGACCTTTTCTTTTCTAACCCTTTTTGTCATGCTTTGAGCGCTGATAGATTTGTACTATATTATCTTTAAAAAAAAAAGGGATAATTGCGATCTCGTTATCATCTGACAGTTAAATTAAATTGCGTTTGACATACCTTCTTAGTGAATTTAAAACCCATATTTCCTTAAATTTATTGAGTCCATATGTGAATTTTTATTAAATTCATTGACAATCGACCAGACTCAATATTTAAAAATAAATGATTATTGTTATCGATCGATAATTTTTAAGTAATTGTTTGTAAGAGATTTAAATATCTTATTTCATAATTTCACTTGGATAAAATTAATGGATAAACAAACAGTACAAGAAACTAATAAAAAAGCATTTTTTTATTAATTCAATCGAAGAGACTTCGATCAAAGAAAAGACTAAATAAACGACCTTGATTATAGTTATAACGGCTTCTTCCAACTAATTTAAAAGGGTTAATCTCA